GATAATATGAATTAAAAAACTAACTTTTATTATTTACTACATCATCATCATCAGCTGGGACAACGGCTAAACGTGTCTTCTAAAGCACGGAGCAGCTCGAGTTAATAATTTTTTGGTCACCAATCCGATAACTAGACATATCTAAGACAGAACGTGCTAACTGCTGCGCCATCGAGCTCCATTTACGATATGTAATACCAAAACCTCTCTAACTAAAATAAAGACTGACTATTATCATTTATACGTCTCTTTTTTCATTTCTTTACAGGCTTCGAAGTGATATCAGTGATAGTTGTACTGAACATGCTCATAGCTACAATGTCAAACACTTTCCAAAAAGTTAACGACAATGTCGCAATTGAATGGACTTTTGGAAGAACCGAGGCTAGTTAATCATTTTTTTACTCAAACTTTTTCTCACACATTTTTAGTATAGTAACTAATGTATACACTTTCGCTCAACTAGTTTTATAAAAGACTTTTTGTTTTTTGTTTACATTGGTACTATGTATACCTACCAATAAAAAAAAGTAATACAGTATTCGCAACCTATTGGAAATTAATTATATATTATTGGATTATTTGGTGGCGTAATATTAAAATCATTTCGCCCTGAATCTACCTCAACATAATATTATTATTCTTAGTAGGTAGGGTTATTATTTTCGCCAAGACCCTTTATTTTAAGTGCACATTATCGTATTATTAATCCTAATTACAAATTAACTCTTTATAATAAGCAGTACTAATCAGGAAAAATTTAATTGTTTTTGAGAAAATAAAACATTTAAAAAATAGTCTAATTTTGTCCACAATTACAAATATGGAATGTAGACAAGATAAAATGTATCTTTGGACAGTAGTGACCTATGGATATACTATTTAAATAGTAATAAACTTGTATATAAAGCAAATATTGAGATATATAACCTTTTAAGTTTAAGTATTTTAACATTACAAATACTCAGCATGTAAATCAAATTTAAATTAAATTTTATAGACTAATCATGAAACAAAAAAAAATGCGCTCAAGTCTAAGCCCATATACATAGATGGAGCTTCTTCTAAGCATTCATAGAAGTTAATGTCTTCATTCTCTTCAAATACCGTCTTTACGTCCTAAAAGATCTAAGGCCTGTGTTATTATAATTTAAGTATTTTGTATTTTTCAACGTCGTTTTTTTACGAATCGAAACTCTACTTTTGACTTCTTTGATTGCTTCCATATTAGACTTTGAACATATTTAATTGCGATTCACCCTAGTTTTACTTCGAAGAACTTGAAAACAAAGTAAATAAACTATTAATATATAGTGTACAATTCAGAATATGTACCTATGAACAGTCCAAAGTTGCAAAAATCTTTTGTCCATAGGTACAAATAAAAGCTTATACCCTCTAAATCTCCTCAGTTTAAAAAAAAACACGCATATTTGTGGAGATTTAATAGAAAACCATTTAAAGTTGTGCTCGTGTGTTTATCTTTATCTCAGAAAAACGCATAGAAATTAAACAAAAGTATTAATTTTAATAGACAAATTTTTTGAACGGCGCACTGACGCAAACATTTAAGAGAAAGAAACAAAATGGTAACACGTCAGGGTTATCAAGAGTCAAAAAACTTAAAGAAATGTTCGAGTTCAAAATTATTGGTATTTAGTTTTTGAGTTATCGAAGACGTCAATAGGTTAAGCCGTTCAAAGGTACAACACTTGACCCTACCTATCTTTCTGCTAAAAACTTGTATATATAATTTTTAGTAGAACTAATACTATGGAATCACGAGTAATACTAAAAAGCAGACACAACATTCAAAATCTCATATAACTCCTAATAAATCAAACAAGCAATAAATTTTAGAGCACCAAAGATCGTCATAACGCTTTACGAATATAACTAGCATAAGATATTGCGAATGAACATACAAAATGATTTGTGTATCGTCCATACATGGCAAATAAGCAACACTTCCACGTACAACACGAGCAGATCACGCTCTCCGATTATAATTTATAACGCAATTATTTATAGACTATTTCATGGTCTTTCTTCCTGCACAAGCTCTCCTATATAAACGGCTTTGAAGATCTGTGTTTTACTTTATTTATGAAAGTAGTTTGCTCAAAAATACTACCATACACCATGGGTTGTTTGTTGCTAACAAAGAAACACACATCCATAACGGATCTTTTTTAGAAGTTAAGGAGAAAACATCTTATTGAGATGTTGTTATGGTAGAATAATTTATAAAATACCCGATTCAACTTCTAGAATATATTAAATAATGTCGGTTATCAAATTGCAATCATACTCAAAAAAATCTCTAATAAACAAATAAAATACTAAATAACGTAAAGGCGGCAAGCCTATGAAGAAGTTTCTATGAGTTCGAGTGTTTTTTTTTTATCATTTATAAAATTTATATTTTTGTCTATTGCTGTCTTATATCAGAAACAGATATATTCAAATAGTACAAGAAAAAATTTATGATTGCAGCTAAATTAAATGTCTACGAAAAGACTTTCTCCCGGACCTATTACTTTTATCATAATATGAATAAAAACCGCTATTGATATCAGGTTCAAAAGTTATTTGTATACAGAGCACTTTCGCTCACAAAATATAAGGTACACTCGCACGCGGCAATTTTAATAGAAGCTCGCTCTGAAAAAAGACAAAACACAAAATAGTCGTGGTCAAGAAAAAGATATCAACGCGCTCTCTCTAAGGGCGTGTCCCCACACTTCCTTAAGTTAATTAAAATTAGATTCTTTGTAGGACAGTGGTGGATTTACCCTAAGGCCATAGGTCTTGAGCTTATCGCAATTCTTTTCAATTTTAAATTTCAAAGATATTCACGAACTTCACGCAAATAGTACTTTATGTTTAAGTTACTAAATTTCTATTACATTTCTTGATCATTGAAATCTTTTCTTAATTGCTTAAGCGATTAAGATTTTGATCGTTACATAATTCTATAAATCGCTCTCATAATCACTATACCTTTGAAAGGGATTGCGATACATTTTGAAATTGTAAAACCGACTGGGCTTAGGGCGGACGGACATTTGGGGCCAAAAGCTAAATGATGAAATACCATATAGTGGTCTTTGTATATCTTTTATGCAAGGAAAACTCTTAAATTAATACATATACCTATACTTAGCTAAAATAACTACGGGAACAAGATAGTTGTTATTTCATATACATTTCGAAGTATTTTCATAGACTATTATTAATCAGATGTTTATTGTCTAAAAATTGTGGTTGTCCTATAAAATAATAACGTAATAACACATCATCATCAGCCCTTTTACGTCCCCAATGCAGAGGCCCAGGCGTTCCTTATGGATGGTTAAGGAGAAGGGACCATAACCCTCCACGCTGGCCCAATGCGGATTGGAGGGTATTAACAACTGCAAATGCTGGTCACCCATCCCGTGACCGACCCTTGCGAAAGTTGCTTAGCGACAACGATCTTTATTTACTTCATTTTAAATTAATTTTTGCAGATTACACAAAATAAAATTTAATATTTTTTTGACATTTTATCTGAGACGTAAAAAGTCTTGTAATTGGTTGCAAATCCGATGACGTCACACTAGCATATGCCATAAGCACTTTTTTTTTTAATAAATATTTGAATTTTTATCGATTCTATTTCAATAAACATTATCACGAATTAAATTCATATGCAGTGCCAAGTTACTAGAGCTATAAAAGGGGCGACCAGTACTACATAGTTGTTTATGTTCTAGTTAAATGTATTTTCAATTGTATTGTATGTAATGCAAATAAAATTCATTATTATTACATAGCCTAATCAGGCCAAGCCTGTTAATCAGCCTTTGCATTGTGGACTTATGGATATGATTGAATTTAATTTAAACCACCCAAACGTTTCGTAAACAAATAGCAGCTATCTTCAAACGTCGAATCGTATTTACTAATCATTTCACTGTTAAACTAATACTATGTTTTTGTGAACTTTCTCCAAAATCAATTACGAAATGCCAGTTCATGTTTCCATCACGACATGTAATTAGGTACACGACCAAAAACGAACGGTTGGTGAATTTGACAATGGTAAATAGTAATCTTTCAGTAATGTTTCAAATTATTACAAGTCGTTAAATTCAACGGAAAATCTAAACATACTATAAAAGTTGCTTCCCGCTGTCCTTACGCCGAGATCTTTGAAACCACACAAATTATTTAATGCGGTTTTCATCAATATACAAGAGGAAGGTTTATTTTTATACTACACGACCATGGGGCGAAGCCGCTGGCGGAAAGCTAGTTGATTATATCCTGCCATGCGATTCTGTAAAAATCCAAACCCAAATTCGAATTGACTCAGATGTACGAATTCACTTTACAATCTTGAATTTCTAAATGACGTGAATATGGACACATGAGGGAATTCTAATTCGGCCCTGGGTTTTTTTGGGAAATCGCAGGGATTATCTAAAAGCGGGCAACAGAACCTACTGACACTGTATAATTTTTTTTTTATTTTGTTTAAATTAAATCAAAAAATAATAATTACTTATTTCAGAATAATTTGTAGAGTTGAAACATGAACGCGTTTTTCCTCATTGCTATAATTTTTCCTAAGAGGTTTAAAACCGTATAAATTTTATCTATATTAGGTGACTAATAGACTACTTAAGAGTTGTGACTTAAGTATACTAGTAAAACCTGAGGGAAAAATTATTGACTAGTATGGAAATTTCCAGTCGGTGTGAATTGAATTTTGAAATTGCGCTGTTTCTGTAGGTACTCTAAATATCTTAGGTACTAGATTTTTACATTACAAATCTATAATAAGTACCCGTGTTTCGTATTTATCCTAAATTTGTTTCTATAACTTAATATATTATTAAATGTTTGATTTGTTCTTGTTTTTTTTTTTATTTAAGATTGACTTAAACTAAAGTAGATACCAAACATCTAACGTTCCATTCATCCATATTTGTTAGGTTTACATTGACTACATGATGCAGACAACTTTACCATCACCTTTCAATCTCATACCCACAGCTTCTGGTATGAGTAGTGTGGTGGAATGGTTGAGAGCAAAGTTGAGTCGAACACAGGGTGTCCGCGCTCGCTGGTCGTTATCATACTGTTGTTATATGGTTAGTTTTAATTATTACCTTTTTTGTGATTTTCGAAACCCGGAATATGGTAACATTGATATATTTTTTTAATTAAGTAAAACTTGCATCGACGTCGAAGTTTCAATCTATTGCTAAAAAATAATATGAATTATCGAAAAGTGTAACAAAATGATGAGACTAAATCGGGATTTCGAATATACCGTGCATGGCCGGTTTAGCCACGTAGCAAAAGAAGCAAATGCTACGGGCCCCGCGCAATTGGGAACCTCTCTATGGTTCAGAGCCAATTAATAAATTTTTCAAATCAGTGTTAAATAATGCAAGAAATAAAATAAGCCACGCTTCTGACTAGTAATATTTTAAGTATGAACATAAACTGATAAATAAAATTCAAGTCACAGATTATTGTGTGTTATTCGGAAAGCAAAGGATGACTTTTCTCTTTCGGGGGGATTTGGTACGGGCCCAGCTCTAGCTTAATTCGGCACTATCAGTGCTGTGGTCAAGTAGGTAGTTCTCGGGTTCTATGGGATGGGTAGGCATAAAGTAGGTTGTCATAAGCTGGAGTTCAATAGACTACTACTTGCCCGCGAGCATGTCCTCGCGGGCAAGTATAGCAAGCAAGTATATATAGGGCAAGCGTACAGACCATCCCGATATCTAGTGAATTCACCGCTTTACTGTGCGAAAAGGAAAGGTGTACTCCAGCAGTGGAGTCCCAAAATAAGTTATAGAAATACATGACATCCTCCTTCGTTTTTTACAATGAGTTTAATAAATGTCCCCCAGTAATACAACCTCTTCATTTTCAGGAGCGCGACATAGAATCGAGTGTACGAAACGATTACTCTGCCCTGATGTGCGTTTTGGTACAACGATACTTCAAGGAAAAGCAAGCGACAATTATGAAAAACAGCGGTGTAGAAGTGGAACTTGAAAACCTTAGACGAGAACTCGCTGTTTGCAAATATATTACAGAAAAACATTTAACTGTTGCGCAACCGGACTAAAAAAAATAAATTAAAATATGTACAAAAACGCGTTTTGTGACATTTTCGAAGTAGCCAAGTATACACATTGACGATTAGGGTTTAGTCACAGTCATGGATAGGATTGTGCCACTGTTCTAATCAGGTTTTATTTTGATAATCAGTGAATATGTTCATTTTTCACGCACTCAAAACGAAAAATATGTGGAACACAAGGCCTACTCTGTTTCTCCGAAAACGAAAATTCGCCTATATTTGAAATCCCAATACAACTCTAAAGGAATACATTTTTCGATAATTAGTAATGAAACGGAGGTAGGACCCTGACGCAGCTTCTGATGCACAGATAATATTGACGCATATAACTCTAAAAAAATTGTAAGAACGATTCGAATTTTTTTTAATTTTCGTTCGTAGACAAACAGTAGCCCCTCAAAGGTTCCTCTAATAGACTAGAGAGTCCACGTAAAGGTTAATACACGTGAATTAATGATGTCAAAAGCAAGTTCTGCATTTTGTAACATTAATAACGCATAATAAAACACTAGAAAATCTGTAATAAGTGTATATTTATATAATATTTAAAATACAGACTATTTACATTTCATAATATAGTTTTTAACACTTTAGTCAAATATCAATGAATACATTGAATATTCATCAACAACTTCACAAAATGTAATAGGAAACATAATTGTTTTTAACAAAAAATAGGGAACAGGGGACTGATAAATATTTTTAATGAAAAATGCTTACAAAATTCACAAGTCCCAGGTATCCCGAAACGGGACTCGAACCTTTCGCAATCCCGCCGACTGCTCTAACAATTGAGCTACTTGAGACCCAACAGGATTGACGAATTTTACCTGGATCTAGTGGATTTTATAAGCATTTATCATACATATAAATAGAGAACAATTTCGTAAATAGTGACGAGGGCAATATATGTAATTACCAAGATTAGGTATGTAATTATTATACCAAGGATTTTGAATGTTTTCCATATAATTTAAATAGTGAAACGTAATTATTTCGATATTTACTGAAGCCTTTATAAAATTATATCATATTTACATCATCCTTATGCCCTATATTTACCATATATAAAGAGATTTTTTTCATAATAAAAACTATCTTCGACTTAGTAACACGTGTACCAAAATACATATCGCAACTTTTCAAAACATTGTTGAGCAGAGGTTTGAATTTTTACCACTATAGATATTAAAAGCAAACAAATTAATCAAAAGTGTAACATCCAGTTTTAATAAACCTTTGTGCGTGATATCGCGTCTAAAACAAGACAAACAAGTATCCAGACGAGTTATATCCACGGACAATAGAAAAGGCTGTAATAAATACGTCATTGCAACTTTTTTCTTTTAAAAAAATATAAATTACCAATCCATTCATCCAAGGCTGTCCAATCCAATTCCGTGGTAAAGCAGAATTAAAAGGAATTCGGAAATGGAAACGATAAATAACATGTAAATAAGGGCGGAGCAAGCTCGAAAGATATGATTCTATTTTCTACCAATCGAATGTTTCAATCCAGCGACAAGGACTGGTTATATTTTGCATACTAATTATGTAAAATATATAATTATCATAATTAACGATAATTATGATATATAAGTAATTATTCTGAGGATTAATTAAAAGTAAATCTCGAAAGCGTTTGTTGCCTAATCTCATATTGCAATGTTTAATTTTATACGCCCTTACTAATAAGAAACATACGGTTGTTTAGTTACACATAGCTCTGTTCACGTCATTCCAATGTGACTTCCAGTTTGAATGAAAAAGACAAAACACTGTATAACTATACAACGTTTATATATTGCTTATTGGTTATGCTGTAAAAGTACAATTTGGCAAAATCGTGCACCTTACAAACATGACCCCTATGAATTATTCCATTGAATAATTACATTCATTCCGTACTTTTCACAAAATTAATGACTTAACAGAGTTTTTTATATCTAAACTTATAATTATGTTCATTAGTAAAGGTATCAATTAGGCCTTGACCAATAGCGGTATTAGGGCTTGTACAAGCTCAAAAATACGGTGCCTTACTTGATATTCCTGCGATATTACGTCACACTAGTCGACACTGTGATCTCACGAAAATCGAAGAAGAGTAACTCTTTTAAAAAAAATTTAACATGCCCACTTCCTTATAGATGGTTAAGGAGTTTGGGCCATGGACCCTCCACGCTGGCCCAATGCGGATTACTGTATCAATGACTGCAACTGGGATCAACGGCTTTACTTGCTTTCTGAAGCATGGACTAGCTCGAGATAATATTTTTTTGGCCACTCATCCTATAACTGTCCCTTGCAAAAGTTCCTTAACAACAACGATCGCAGGCCGCGGCGCTTATCCACTACGCCACCGAGCTACTTGTGTACAAGCTCATCACTAATATTAGTCAAGGTTAGAGAAAATTCGTTTTTCAACATCCGTCAATATCCGGATAGACCTCCCATCACATCCTGACATGGAACTTGCCCGCTTTAGTCACGTACTTGACACCTTTGAACGGTTTGTACTTCGCACCGTACATATCGAGCCGACTGACACGTAACCCGCTCACTGCCAACTGGGGTATAGTGAAGTGCACGTTTATATTAGGATTAGCACCCGTTGTATCCACGCCGGACGCCACTGATACCTGTAATATAAAGACGTAATCATTTCAACGGTAAGTACAAACGAAAAGATTGTCTCGTTGCTCCCCTAGATAGGAGATAGGAATATATTCATAAATTTTCCCTATAAAAGGTGTATTACAGTAGTATGTAAGACGTCATCGTTTTAATAGTAATAGACATACGATTATTTAACAATTTTCTATTGTTTCAGTTTTTTCAAACCAGTTGAAAAAAATATATATTAAAAAAATTTCGTGTCAGGTAGTTCAGAACTGTTACATTTTCGCCAAGCAACAGCTCTACCAAGAGGTATGACGAAAACTATTGAAATTGATTGTTGAAAATTAGGTATTAATGACCTTTTTGCGTAATCATTAAATTACGGAGATACATTGAGTTAAAATATCACATGACGTCAAGCTTGCTACATTTTCTATAAAATTGTGACGTAACGAGCCCCCACTCAACTTTAATGCCTTTTAACTAAGCTATTTATTGTTACAATGAAGTAAGAAGAAATACGTATCTAATATTTTTCTATTATCTTACTGAAGGACTAAACAGAATTTCCTTTTTTTTATTTATCCCTTTAAGATTTTATATAGATGCTAACCTGCTGAGACCTTAAAAAAATTTTGAAACTTATGAAAGATTTGACTTTCGCTAAAGTGTATTTCCATAAACATAAGATCAGCTTACCACACAGTTCAAAGAAATAATTTAATCTTCAAAATGAAAATTATTTTCTATATGATAAATATCGATGTAACATTTTAAATGCAAAAAACGTTAATAACATTTCTCAATTAAATATCCATAGATAACAAGTCTATTTCTCATGTGGGTGCGACAAGAAAAAAATAAAATCCTTTATAAAATACACATATAAAAATACTTACAGTTCCTCTTATGTTAGGCAACTTTGGTAGTTCTATACGACCAATGTCCCATAGTAGCACCTTGCTTACGGGATCATACGAGTACTTTCCTTGATTAGCAGTTAGAGAGCAGTTCAGGACACATTTAGGCATACAAATTTCTAATGCTACATCTGAAAAAAGTAAGCATTAAAAATTATGGAATAAGTACCCCGTTATTGAAGGTGCAATTTGGTAACTAGATTTTAATAGAGATGATCAAAAATATGTATGATGTCGATATTGATAATTAGTCATTAAGTACACTTTTTTTTTAATTATATTATCCAGGTACCAAATTGCACCTCCTGTAATGAGTTCTAGTAGTAACATACTTTCTAACGTCCTTCCCATGGTCTGCTTAGGTCCAACAGTTAAATCCAATCTTCCTTGATCACTAGTAGAACGCAAAGACAGATTATGTCTAACATAAATTGGAATAGCCACAACACTCTGTGAGCCAATATGATATGACATTAAACGAAAGTTGCCATCTGGGGGAATGAATGATAATATCCTTTCTGACTGAAAAAGGAAAGAATGCTTGAAGTATAAGTATTATAACATCATAAAAAATACTAGAATTGTAAATTCTACATTCATCATGACTAGGACATTTAGACTTTTGTTAATATTAATGAACACTTACCTCCCAACGTTTAAATCTTACACAGGGATGAAATGACACATCATCAAATAATCTAGGATTCACAAAGGTCAATGTCAAATCTGGCATGCCACTTAATTTGATACAGCAATCGATCTAAAATTAAAAACAAAAAAAATGCTGAAAACATATATTACACGCCATAATTTGGAGAAACATATCAGCATTTCAGATTCATACGACGTATGTGCGTACTTTGACTTTACTTGTATAAAGTAGATAAGTAGTTAACTAAATTGTTATCTTAATTTAAAGTAAATAAAGGTAACCACTTATCAGCTTAATATGTGTAAACCAGCCATTATAAAATGAAGTCACTAAAAATTAAGTTAACTACTTATCAACTTAATATGTGTAAATCAGCCATTAGACTTTGAGATGACATTACACTGGTTCACAACAATAAAATTCGCCAATTGTCTCTATCCAAACTTAATATTTGTTATTGTATTAATAACTTTTATTATAAACTTACATAACCCTGTATTTCAGCTGAAACAGTAGCACCACTTTTGTCTATGATAGCATCTACTTCTTCTATAACATCAAAATATGCCTCATTATTTGCATATTTTACACCAGATCTTCTCCATGGCACATTAGACAGCTGGCCAGATGGTAATATTGAAGACACACTACATAAACAAGAATTTAATACGTAAGAATTTTTATAGGCATCAATTGGAAATAATATGTAATATATTGTCACTGAACAGAGAGGAATTCGTACAAGACCTAGCATTGCATACCTCTTTCACTTGTATGCAAACATATTATATCGCTATTGCGCTCGCAATGTTGCATGTAACCAATTTTGTCATATTAAAGTGAATCTAAAATATTGACGATATCTATAGGTAGGGCATAAGTCAATCAATGAAATTCTTTCTGTTCATCAACTATTCTGCAGTAAAGTGATAATAACTGACAAATTCATCAATGTTATTTGATGAAACTTGAACTATTTGTGTGAAACCTATTTTACTTTGGATGTTTGTCAGTCAATCACACCAAAACTGACTGAACAGATTTTGATAAAATTTGGTACACAGATAGGGTATTAGCTGACTTAGATAATACGATACTTTTTATCCCACTTAACATTTGCCTAAGGTCCACGCGGGCGAAGCCGCCGGCGAAAGCTAGTATAAAATAGTTTCACTTTTTTCAATAGTAAGATAATATGTTTACATTTTTTATGGACTTACAAATTTTCTTTTCCTGATAATACTTAAACTAAAAGCATACTTAGATTTTCCTGTCACTGTATTGGCAATGGTTCTCAAAATATTTGGTGGTTTAATAAGTTCCTTCAAAATGTTGCTCTCTGTAGCCAGAGGGAAACCATTATCCAACATCTCATCTAACAACTGAAAACAGATAATTATTTAGAGAGCCACAACTTACACATAAAAATAATATAAATTAACAATAATATAAATTTATATGATAAGTAGCTTTATACCTCATAAACAACTACATAATTCTCTTTTATAATTGTTTCAGTGCAGTCTGAAAAATAATCCTGAAAAAAAATTAGAATAAGTTAAAATTAAAGATTTTAAATAATATTTTTTATTTATTAAATAATTAAATCAATTTACTTTTAGGAAACAGTAACAAAAATCAGAACCTAAATTATTTCAATGCCACATTTTTGTACTTAAAGTAAGTAGAATGATCTTAGGAATTTTTAGAATTAAACAGCATCAAGTAGTGTTATTGAGAATCTCTCATATATTAACAATTTAAATTATCAGTACAATTGATGGTGGACAACATGCTATTAATATCTGAATTTACTATAAAACTCACCTGAAATGTATCTACTACTCTGTGTAAGAATTCAATGACAAAAAGAGGTGCAACTTCATGTTTGCACACAGCCACAAGAGCCACTCCACCTCTCTGAATAGAGATGAGATAATGATGAGGAGCAGCCAAGACTGGTGGCACATCCTACAAACATTAAATTAATTTATTTATTAAGTCTAATCAGGAAGTGAGTCTTGCTATTTTTTAAATTATTAGCTTACATTCGGTGAAGCACGTTGAGCTTCTAAGTAATAATCGCAAACGGATCTTGGAATAACACTACGCCAATGTTTCTCCAGAAATACATCCCTGTAACACAAGTTTATTTTTCTATAAAAGTAATGGTTTTTACAGTTATTAAAAATAACTTTTAATTAAGTACTCAACACCACTTTTTCTGATACGAATATAAAAAATATGGTAAAAACATCAATAAAACGGTGATACATTTTTCAACTTATTAAATATATACATACCCTGCAGGATTTATTATGAATAAGCTGTGTATCATAGTGAGCCACAAAATATTGCGGATACAATTCACCAAATAATATCACTTAACTAAATATTGTAAAATAATTCAACTTATTTTTGCTTTCCAAATCCCCAATGATGATATTTTTTCTGCGCTTTCTCTTTCTCGCTGACTAAATGACAGTTTGTTTTCAATAAAAGGCTTAAGAAATCAGTGTATACAGCTTACACAATTTCAATACTTTTATTTCGGAAACGAACAAATAATGCAGGAACAATATTTGTTAAAAGTTTATACCGGTATCATTTTAAGAAACTGACGGGTTATCGACTGTGCAATAAAGTTGAATAAAATTAAGCACCGGCTAAAGCTGCTGGATCATCGTCAACTCAGCAACACCAAGCCCAGACCTACTACTTTTTCCACGTTAAGCCGTTAATCGCACTACATGGGTTTTCTGAAATCACTTACCATTAATAGTTGCTGGCAGTACCTACTTTACGAATAACAATAATATTAGAGTAATATAGCAACAGGGGCAGAAACAAGTACGACGTTTAAAAGTACTCACCTTAAATTCAAAAATACTGACCATTTTTTACGACACCCTACGTAGTGGTTCGCATGACGGTTCCATTCCCCGTCGGGTAAAATTAACTTTTCTGCTCAGCACTGTTGGGGTTCAGGCATTCCACTAGGGCTCAGTGCATATTGGTATTAATGACTACATATGCAGTCGGGGCCAACAGCCCAACATGCCTTCCGATGCACGAGATTATAAATTTTTAGTCACCCATCCTATGACCTAGCCTTGCAAAGTTGTTTAACAACTGTATTGAGCTTATATGTTGTTTAACAACTGTATTGAGCTTAAATGAGCTTGATGCAGCAGTGGTTACTGCTGCATCAAGCTTATATAAGGCTTTATTGTCTGTAGGTGAGAAAACCATATTTTTTTTTAGTTACTGGAGTGCACTATTCCTATAGCCAACAGTAATCCCTTCATATTATATTTATACTATTTATTATAAAAAATAGAGAAAAAAGATCAGAAAGGGTGTTTACAGACAATGGCAAAGACATAAAAATCTATCAAATTACACCACACGATTACAAAACTTGATGTTTGAAATCAATTGGAGATATTCATCATATTGTGGTTACCTTGCTTGCATACAGCCGTTAGTACAAACAAAATATCAGAAAAACAAAAGTGAAGGTTTAAAAAAATGTTTAAATCTTAAATATAAAAATGCTGCCTATGAATCATCAATCATCATATACACAATCTTGTATATTCACATAAAAATTAATTTAGTTCACTTTGAACCATACAAAAAAATGTACATAATCTCATCCGTTTTGAAAAATGTAATTAACATATTAAGTAATTTCTCTCTTGAAATACAAAAATTATTATATATATTTTGATTTTAATTAATTAACAGAATGAACATTTAGTTTATACATTTAATAAAATAAATCCTAGATATATTTGAGTAGTTTGAATTGCATATTTTTTTAAATATTTAGAACAATGCTAGTCATTGTATAAGCTCGAGTGCAATTATTATTAAGTAGCTAGAATCTAATTTGGAGTTAAATAATGCTAAAATGGTACTTTCTCCTTTACAAGTACTGATCATATGAAAATAAAATAAAACCACAATATTTTTAAAATTTTTATATTGAGACCTGCCTTATTTAATAATTAACGGTTGGACTTAGCTACACGTTCCAGCTCATCCTTCTTCTTGATCGCATAAGAGTTTGAAGAACCTTTAGCTGCGTTGATGAGCTCATCAGCAACACACTCAGCAATGGTCTTAATGTTCCTGAATGCTGCTTCACGTGCACCAGTGCACAATAACCAGATAGCTTGGTTGACACGACGAAGTGGAGACACATCCACAGCCTGACGACGGACTGTACCAGCACGACCAATTCTTGTTGAATCTTCACGAGGACCAGAATTGATAATTGCAGTTACAAGTACTTGTAGAGGGTTCTCGCCTGTCAAGAGGTGGATAATTTCAAAAGCGTGCTTGACAATACGCACCGCCATCAACTTCTTGCCGTTGTTACGACCGTGCATCATAAGTGAGTTGGTCAGACGCTCAACAATGGGACACTGAGCTTTACGGAATCGCTTGTGAGCATATCTGCCAGCAGAATGCGGTAAATACTTAGCGTGTTTCTCCTTGACAGAGATGTAATCTTGCAGAGACATGTCTGAAACTTGAACATCGTAACAGCTCCACCTTCCGAAAAGTTTGATTTCGGCGATGTCAGCAGAGATTGGCAGTGGCATGGTTTCGACAGCCATGCTGCCCGCTTCCGTACTATCATTCCAATTTTCTTCAGCCATTATGCCTAAAATGTTAAGAAAACATAAGTCATGACGCTATTCACACTAAAACGAAAAAATACAATCAAAATACCACGTAAAATACGCACTTTTCTATTACTAAATAGAAAATATAACCTCGTGTTGTCAAAAGAACACTGCAACACGGGAAAAAGGAAGTCGAATCGAAGTTTGCTATACGAGTGGTTGGCAACAAAATGTTGCTACGTGAAAAAATGTAATGGAACTCTACACATTAGCTTCATAAAATTAAAATTCTCTTTTGACGCAACGACGAGACGATTGAGAGAAGACGAATTAAACAGGGCTAAATTTTTTACTGTTTATCTGGAAAGCAAAACCCGTGTTTGCTGAGTAAAATTGCCATACTGTGAAGGAAAAGCTATATTCGACAGCCGTAACAAATACATGTTTTATTTTTAATTTTAATTGATTATTTTTTATTAATTGTTATATTTTTTAAAATACTTAATGAGGAAGTATTTAAAAATAAAAAATTAGTTCCCAAAATCTAACTAGATGTCGCCACGGTACGTTTTTGATTTCTCCATGACAACCTTTCCGGTTTTCTTTCACGTTTAAAAGTAAATTAGTTTTCAAAACTCAATAAACAACTCATATTCTATTTGTACTTTTTCGTATTTATATTGATATCTAAGTTTCGAGCTATTCAAATTTCAGTTTTTTAATATGATAGTCAATAGAAACGGAAATGACTGTCTTTGGTCCATTCGTTTCCTGCAAAAAATCAACTTTTGCTACGGTCGCGATCTAATAGGGGTGTTTTTTTAGTGCTTTCTTCTTTTTAAATACTTCCTCATGAGCTTATGTATATAAATACTATAAGTATAATCAAAAAACAAAGTTAGCTTAAGTTAGTCAAGAAATAATAAGTAACAAAATAAAAACTGAAAAACCAGAGCATAATACTTCCATAAACTTATAAAATTCAGCCATAAAAGGCAAATGCTATCTGTAATCAAGCAATACTTGAAACCAACAATTTTTATCAGTTCTTACGAGACTTACCGTGCTGTAGTATCGAGTATTGCTTTTGAATGTATCGATACCTACCCAGTATTAGGGATGGGCAAATGGGAAAATAATGTCTATATGTATCGTATTGATATTTTTCAAATGTATCGATAGCTATTGTCAAAAATATTTCGATATATTGATATATCGATATTAGCTGCTTAATATAATAAGTGATTATCTATAAAAATTGACAAAATATTCGAAAATTACGAATGTTTTGTAAATTTTTCAATTAAACACCTGGCTGTTTTGTTATTTACAATAGGTACATAAAGCCAAGAAAACAACATCTACAACACAACAAAAATTACATAATTCAAACAAATCAGTATTTGTCTGATATTAACATCAGGAACACTCTCACTGATATCAACCAAACTAACAAGTCATTGTCATAAAGAAACAAGAAAGACAAACAGGTCAAAGACTGTAATTTCTAAACTCATACAGCCTACTGCCTACCTACTCTTTTTAAATTTAAGAAATACATGATGAGACGTATGAGCAGAAAGCAGAACTTTAAAAATATATCGATTGTGATACAAATTTGATATCTGAAAATAAATATAGAAAACCGATACATCGCGGAAAGAAATATCGCAGATTTTTATCGATATTTTTCAGAAAATATTTCGATATTTTGATATATTGATAGTTTTTGCCCAATCCTACCTAGTATCGAATACAAAAATATTGTTCGATTTTGTGCATCAAAGAGTACATATATATACATACTCTAATCTGATAAATATTATTTTATTGCTGTTATCAAAGTGATTGATTATTTAAGGTTCAGTTAAATCATGAGTTGTTGTGTAATTTTTTACGAGATTTAATTATAATTTTAATAAATAACTAGTTTGATACTGCCAATAGATAATTCTCTGTTTTTAAGGTTAGGGAGGGAACAAAGTTCGCTATGTCGGCAATAAGGCGAAATGTAAACTTTAAACTCTTTACTATTCTCTCACATAACCGTAATCCACAAATTAGTTTGCGGAGAAACTTGAACCTTCAGGAGTACCACAGTAAAGATCTCTTACGAAAATATAATGTTACTATTCAGGACTTTCGTGTTTTAGACACAAGTTTGGATACAAAATCTCTTTCAGATTTAAAAGCAAATGAATACGTAGTGAAAGCCCAAATTCTAGCTGGGGGCAGAGGTAAAGGTCATTTCGATAATGGATTCAAAGGAGGCGTACACCTTACCAAGGATACCAATGAAATAGTAAAATTGGCAAAGAATATGATTGGCCATAAACTGATAACCAAACAGACACCAAAGGAAGGTGTTCAAGTCGATAAAGTAATGGTGGCAGAAAGTGTTAACATAAAGAGAGAGACTTATTTCAGTATTGTAATGGAAAGGAGTTACAATGGTGCTGCTCTAGTAGCATCACCGGCTGGAGGCATGGACATTGAAACTGTTGCTGAAGAGACACCACATCTGTTGAAGATTGTTCCCATTGATATTTTTGAGGGTGTTTCTGATAAAACTGCTGATGAAATAGCTGAGTTCTTAGAGTTTAAAGGTGAATTGAGGAAAAAATGTGCTGAAGAGATTAAAAAACTTTGGAAATTATTCTTAAAGGTAAGTGACTGATACCTTAGAAAGAAACAATTTCTCTTTAATTAATGTAATAAAGAACACACAACCCATACATTGCTCAAATTTCAAACTTAAGTATTCAAAGCCTTTGTGAAATTTGAAACAAGAAAATATTACAGCACTCAAACCTGAAACAGAGAATAATATTGTCTGGTTTGACCTGACTACTAATCAAACCTAGAACCTTAGAGATAGTAACACCAACACAAAAGGTGGATAAGCCACTCAATAATTTTTTCTCTTATATGGACTTTAGTGTCTGCTTTATTGAAGCCTGGTAATCACAACACAACTAATAATTGTTACAATATATTTTTCAACTTTAAATATTAACCAGCAAAATACATTAAATATTTGTATTTTTTTAGGTAGATGCAACGCAGCTGGAAATAAACCCTTTGGTAGAGACAGATGATGGAAGAGTTGTAGCAGTTGATGCTAAAATCAATTTTGATGATAATGCAGAATTCAGACAAGCAGACATTTTTGCCTTGGATGATGTCACTGAAACTGACCCACGTGAGGTAGGTACTTATAATAGAAATAAATTAAAAGCTTTATCTCTATCATAGTTTTACCTATATGTTGATATTAACAGTTACCTTAATTTGTTTTATGAGCTCTTGATAACATAAACTATGTTATAAATAAATGTGCCAATAACATCACCTTTTGCCATCACTCTTTTATATGTCTGACTTCCAATGGAAATTGTGAGGACATAAAACAGTCTGCTTATGCAGTGATTATCTTAGAAAATAAAATACAAAAAAATTCTGTGTCTCAATCTCTTATAATATCTGTTGCTATCAATACAATTTCAATATGAATTGACTAATTGGTCATAAACTTACTGAGAGAGCCTTTATAACCGAATAACAAATATTTAAGTTAGTATTCAGTTTAACCTTTACCAAACCAGATTTTCGGCTGAATTATTTGATTTACTATTTCATAGTATTTAGCCAGAATGTTTCTAATTACTCATAGCACAGTATATTACAGCATATCTATAGCAAATGATTATTTATGAATCAATATAAACCTCAATGAAGAAAAATGCAACACACTTTTGCCAGAGAGGGTTGAGAGCTTGGTGTTTCTGCACCATAATTTACCATTAATTAAATATACTTGTTTAATACCTGGTGAATATGCTTGTTTCTTTTTTCCTTATATTTTATTTTATTTCTGATCCCTATTATTTATAGTATCATTTGTAGTGCCTGTGATGAAAATTATTAAATTTCGATTGGGGGTTTAAAAATAAATGTGGATTGAAGTTTTAAAACAAAAATAGAGATTAAAGTCTATAAAATCAATATTTACGATTCAAAGTTTAATTAGTATGAATTAATCTCCATATTTAACTATGTTTGTAATTGTATTGATTTTTTAAATATGTCAAATCATGCGCGCATTAAAGCACATTCATCAAACAAACGTATTTAACTGAAAAATATAAAAGAAAAAATCTTACTCGTAACATAATTCTTACTTAAGACGTTGTTTTTTATGATAAGATGGTGTTGTCTAACCAAGAAAACAGGAATACTTGAACTGAATATAATCAGCAACAAATCGGATACAAATAGTAAAAAAAGATGCCGAATACGACGAACAACAAACAAATATTCGGTGCATCTTTAATTTTGCCATTATATATATTTCAGAGAGAAGCAGCATCTCAGAACCTAGTGTACATTGATATGGATGGCAGTATAGGATGTATGGCAAATGGAGCTGGTCTTGGTATGGCCACTTTAGACTTGGTCAACTTAAATGGTGGAAAGCCAGCAAATTTCTTAGATCTAGGAGGTGGAGTTGGCCCTTCCCAAGTTGCAACTGCATTGAAAATTTTAGAATCTGATCCAAAAGTCAAATCTATTTTCATTAATGTATTTGGTGGTATGTATAAAACCTTTTTTTATGAACATTCTATATTTTTGTTAGTAGAATAAACCTTAATATAATAACTTATTATAGGTATTGTCAATTGTGCTACTATTGCAAGTGGGATAGTAACAGCTTTCAAACAAAATCCCCCAAAGCTCCCTATAGTTCTACGACTCGAGGGAACAAATGCAGCAGCAGCGAGAAAAATTCTAGAGCAATCTGGTGCTCCTGTTAAATTAATGGATAATGTTGATGAGGCAGCTAAAACAGCTGTAAAATTAGCTGGAAATTAGATTTATAGTAGAGATACATGCTATAGACTTCATTATGTTGACTTTGTCTGTTTTATTTTTGACTTAAACTCAATGTATAGGATGAATATTAACATATTTTCGACCTGTCTATGTACATATTATGATATATTGATAGTGATTATCAAATATGCAATATTTTGTTTCTAACACCATCTTAACATTTTGGTTTAACTTTACACTATAAAATGAATTATATTACCATTCATAGAAATAAAACTTGTAAATGGCAAATGGATCATTTAGATTAGAAACAGGTTCAGGATGCAGAGTATGCAGTTTCTGTGAGTAAACTTGACATGTGAGCTCAATTGGCCAAAATAAGTGAGCATTTAGATGTGGACATCATAAAACCTTAGCATTTAGAAATATCTTCCATTTTTTGCCTTATTGTACATATAAGTTAGCTATGTACTTATTACAGAATTAACAATAATTGTTTTCAAATAAGACATTAATCACTTTAAGACTGAAGTTTTATAAAATCAATTCTAACATGCAAACATTAACATATTTGTGTATCTAGAAGTGCTGTTTTGTTTTCCAGTTATTGTTTATATTGTATAGTGTTTAGAGAAAGTTAAATAAATATTTGTATGAAAAATATTGATTTTTCTTATTATACTGAGATTATACAGGTAATTATGGATGGATACAGGAATAAAAACAATAATTGAAGATTAATTAATTTATTGTAATAACAATTTAATTATAATAGTGTACCACATGGTACTAAGCGCGGAATAGGTTGAGCCGACGACCCTGCGGCGATTCACTAGAGGAGACTGCCATGTTACCGTGGATCTCTTCGAAGGTGGGGAAGTGGGCGAGCTTGCCACGTGCCGCTACTGATGGTTTCTTGGCGAGCATACGTCGGGCTACGCGCACTATGTCCTCTGCCGTAATTTTTTCTATAACAAAATATTTTATATAAATATTATAAAGAGGAAAGATTTGTTTGTTTGCATCGAATAAGCTCCGATATCACTGAACCAATTTAAAAAAATCTCACCTACGGGAAGCTACATCATATGCGGTGGGATGGGAGTGAAAATTTGTATAGGGAATTAAAACGTTACCATAGTAACTATTGCTTACTATTCGATTTTTAATTATATCCATGTCATGATATGAAGCCTTATCCAAATGAATTATTAAAGTAAATTTATAAGTCGTGTCACCTACAACAATCTGTTAATCAGCGCCGGTCCATAAAAGCAAACTAGGCAATTGCCTAGTTCGCTAGTATTTGGCGGCGAAATGGCGCATAATGTGTTTCGCTCTAATTATTTGAACCCATACAGTACCTTAAAAAATTACTTTGGTTCTTAGGTCATGAATCTGCGGTAATCAATAGTACAAAATTCTGAGACTTAAAATACCGAAGGTATTTATTTCTTCTCTCATTGACAAAAATACTCTTTGTTATTTTTCATGGTCGTTTAGGCCGCCAAGTTTCAGTGAGCCGGCGCTGCTGTAAATGTTACTGGGACACAGGCCTTACCTACTAGGCACATATAGAATAATGTAGAGAGAACTAGCCATAAGTGAATATTCATCATCATCATCATCACCAGCCCTTTTACGTCCCCACTGCAGGGGCTCAGGCCTTCCAAGTGAATATTGTTGGTGGTTAATGCAAAGAGATTCGGTACCAGCAGCTTAACATGGTTACCGACTGAGAATATTCACTAAATGCATTTTTGGCCAGTCATCTGGTGACTGCACTTTTCGAAAGTTTCATAGCCTCCACAATCATTGTTCATTATTTGTTACCGCCGGTCAAACGCGCCATCGAATCATAAACTCATTTCTATATACAAAGTCAACGATTTCCTGTAATGTGTATAGGTTATCTACCAAATGATTAATGGGACATAAACAACGCCCAATACGAGAGGGCAATGTGATAAAAACTATAGATTTAATTAAATCAACCATGCATTCCACATTTACATATAAATAGTCACATACCAATTTCATTTATGAAGAAAGAAGGTGGTTTTCTTTTTCCGGTCGCAAGAACTTGGCGACCGACATCTTCAAAGACAACGGGTCTCGCTTCCAAGTTCATTAGCAACATGGATTGAAGCTGAGTTTTTGCTCTCTAAAACATTAATTACTCATGAAAAAAAAAACAAAAAAATGTTAAGTCATCTCCATCATCATCAGCCTTGTTACGTCCGCACTACATGAACTCAGGCTTTCCTTATGGATGGTTAAGTAGAATCGTCTATAACCCTCCACGATTCGGATCGGATTGGAGGGTATAAACGACAGACGGGTGCAACGGCTTAACGTGCCTTAGAAAGCACGGAATAGCTCGAGAAAGTCATTTTTGGTCACCTTTCCCGTGACCTACCCTTGCAAAAGTTGCTTAACAACAATGTTCGCGGGCAATGGCGCTACTCCACTTCACCACGGAGCCAATAAAAAACAACATTTTTTTTGCGGTGAATAGGCAACCGTCGTCATTCAGTTTCTGTTTTATATTGTGAGAATTAATGCAGTACGAAGTTACAGGATCTGAAATACAGTGTCTAAAATTAAAACATGTGACGCTATATTTGCACATCTTGTGCCAAATACAATATTGCAAAGAGGTAAAATTTCTAACATTGTGTACCTTCAAAAATAATGATATACCGATCCGATCATGAAAACTCCTATGAAGTTACATTCACACGCGGGCGACATATAGGTTCGCGAAGCCGCCGGAAAACAGCTAGTGTCCTATATAAATATGACAAGAGTAATTACTACCTAAGGGATTTTCGTTACTTACCTTTAACTCGTTCTCGCCAACTTTACCCGCCATGTTGGCGAGTTCGCGGGCTATAACTATAGTGGTGTCGTAAATGCGATTAGGGGGAGACGCGGAATGCACACAGAAAAGTCCGGTGTCCCCATACGCGTGATTGTACGCGGTAGCATTAAACATCCAGTGATATCTGAAAATAAAATCATTATGTGACAACGGCTCTAGTGTCCAACCGAAACTGGTTTTTCCACACGAAAACGAATTTCGGTCTCACGGTCTCAATTTTGGCCGAAACCGATACTTCTTTACAAAGATCATATTTTAAGGAAAAAATAAAGAAAACGTTTTTAAAATCAGTCAGTCTTAATTTTCTTATCTTAAACTAGCAACCCAAAACAACACGGGCCAGCGACAAAATGGCGGAATTGTAAATTTAGTGCTGTTTAAAATTTTACAAAGAACAATGGCCATCTGCCTAACATGCTTGAACTAGTAAAATCGAATAAAACGTAACTTGATGAAACATATGTTATTTTGTTTGCCTATGCAACTAGAACAAAGAAAGACATTAAGTATATTTTTAAAAGCTGGGAGTATCGAGTAATTGTGTAATATGTTTTTGAGGTTATGTCGTATTATTTAAGTTGTATTATTTTGAGTTAGAGGTATTACAGTTGAAATATGTAAAGCACACGTCAGATAATGCCTAATCGTAGTCCTAGAAGTGCATACTTTCACTTAATACTTCAAACTTGCCCCATATCTGATATATTATTTTTATTGACTGTAAGACATAAAATCATTTTTTGTGAACCAATGAACATCAAAAAAAATAGAGTTTTTAAGATTGCTCTCAATAAATCTACTTTTCTATCTTACACTATAACTTATATAAAGTAGTAGTGAAAATACTAATTTCAAAAGGATATAGCAAAACAACATGTTGATTTTTCTTTTCTTTATTACAACTAATGAATACCATCACATAATGCGGCTACATTCTGTTCGTGTCTCGCCCATCCAAGATACCAAACTATGGTCATTATATGAGCACAGCATCCCAGTGTTCTCCTTTGCCATCTAACCCGGATGTGTCATTATTTTTTTAAATGTACACATAATATTGTTTCCTCCCAACGTCTCGACTTAATTCTACCCCTTATAATTAGGACTTTATTTATATTTAAGTCTAATTCTAATAATTCTATACTGCCCATCGAACCTAGTATGCTCCCCATAATACAAAATCACCGCCAAAGTTACAAAACAGTCTGCGTAGAAACACGTCTACACATACTTGTCTAAAAAAGGAAGGTCGCAATCAATTGAATACTTATAATATCGATTCTTTTGAATAATCATTTGTTTTTAATTTCATTATAAATAAACTATTTTCATCTAAGTAACATTTAATTATATTAGTAATCTAATCTAAGTTTTATAATTTTCACGGATTTATATGGTTAGTATATAATATAAGATTTGTATCAAATTCGATTAGTCAGAAATAAAATCGATATTGTTCTTTGAAAAGAGAGGGACTTCTCTATGAATGACATTATTAATAAGATGCGTTCAAAAATAACATAATTTAAACTGCATTCTAAAAAATAAAGACATATTTTAGAGAGGATTATCTTTCTTTTCCCAGCTTTTAAAAATAAATTGTTGGTATATAATAATTACATTCAACTTATACTACATTTTGGTGATAGTTCCATCTTGGTACAAGAACTTCTTTTTTCGTAGTCCATTTTGACCATTGTTCTTTCTGCGCTAAATATGATCAAACACAGCGCGAGAATGCAGTTTCGGTTTTGGTCGTAGTATCGGTAGGTTTGCCAGTGAAACCGAAACTCGTTTTTTTGCCGAAACTCGACCGAAACCAAAACCGAGCATTTATTTAGACTTATTACATGTATCTAAATTTGATGTATTCAGCAAATCTTGCGTTTCCTTAACGACGTCGTCTACTGAACACTTACAATAAATCCAAATAAAACTAACTTATTTTTGTACTTAAGGGTGGAACTTACTGATGGGATGGGGCCATTATTATCTTATAATTTGACATTATTTATTTATTGTGTTATAGTCGTTATCATTTTTATTATTAATTGAACATTTGACTTAATGACGAAGTATTCTGTAAGCTGGTGCATAATTCAGTAATAAATAAATAAAAATTGACAAAAAATAGCCTTACCTAATAAATGGGTGGCACTTAATAAAAATTATACAACCATGGTTAAAAGTTAGTTAAATCATGCAAAATAATCATTTACCTGTTCAAGACGTTGGTGTAAAGACGTGTATACATTCCCTTGCCGGGCCCGCCGGCTGAAAACGATCCACCGCCACCCATCATCATGTTCAGAACACAGGTCGCAACAAAGTCAGGGTCACCATGCGAGCAACCTGCATCATTGTGGTATTTCAATGAAAAATACTAAAAGTTTCGGTTTTTCATTTCACACACCAAATATTTTAATTAATTTCTTGGACTGACCAATTCTTGAGAGAATCGAGGTCACACAATGTCCCAAAACCTTGAGAGAGTCGAATTAATTGATTACACTTAAAGCGCCAGCGTGATGGCCACATCACGACAAAAGAGACGAATAAAAAGCTCTCGGGTAAGAGATTGATAGGGACAGATAGACAGATACGAAATGAATCACACATTCATCAATTTACCTTATAAAGAGTAAAAGAATGGGAGAAAATGTGAATTATAGGGATAAATTTTAGAAACTGTCATTTTGACAGTGTGAAACCCTTTTTTCTCTTTTCAAATACAGCTAAAATATAGCTATTTGGACTTTATTTAATGCTTAAACTTAAACTTGCACTTCGGGGTCTTGAGAAAAATCATAAAACATCACTTGATAAAAAACCTACTTAAATAACTTATTTATTACAAAGTTTCCACTTACTTTCTAAACCAATGACTACATGAGATAATTCAGGTAAATCTGATCCTGGATAAAGCGGAATTTCACATTCTTCCTGAAAAGTAATTAGTAATGCTATATATACATTTAAATTTATATTGTTAAATGATAGACAAAAAACACTACCAAGTGAATAGCATGTATTGCTCCAGATTTTTTTTGCTCCAGATACTTTGGTAAGTATTATCTTCTTGAAATCAGATTGTAAATTCACTGCCACAAAAAATCCTAGACGATTTAAATGACTATTGAAGAATAATAATATGGTGGTTTGCAATCTTATATCTAACATTACAAAGACATTTTGGTGAGTAAAATAAGTTTCCACATATTTCAAATTGAATAGTTATACCTGTTGCATTCCACCAGTGTATTGAGCAATGGAGTTGTCAACTTCAGGTACACTTTTATCTGTTTCTTCGGAATGCCATGTAGGTTTCATATCAACAAAATATTTTTGAACAAATTCAACAAATGGAGCATGTTCAACCTGTAATGCATAGCAATATCAAGATAATAATCTCTATAATAGACAAAAAAAAATAAGAAAAATTTATGCAGATATACATACACCAACAGCAGCCACAACCATTCTGCTAGGAGTATAATGGTTTTTTAAATATTTGAGAATGACATTACGATCAATTTTGTTAACATTTTCTGGTGGACAAATTTTTGGTAATCCAAGTGTGTTTCCTTTATAAGCTGCCTGTAAATCAAATATATATTTTATATTACATTAATATAATTTATAAATATTATAATATTAATACAAAAGTAATATCATGTTAAGCATGATAACAACACTGGAAAGCAAACACGTAGTAACCCACAAAACCACAATTTTTCTTCAGAGCAGAAAAGCTTTTATTTTTTTTTTGATAAAAAATTCCTATAAACGTCTATGGTAACAAATAAGATGTTCCTTAGAGAATTTATATGGAAATAAGATTTTTTTTTTTAATATAAAGATTTTCCACTTTAAATAAGGTCTTAAAATACCAGTTAATTTCACAATATCTTGTATTTTCTGTCTGGAAGAAAGATTTCTAAGTCCTGCAAACTTTTTATCTGTTTGTAACAATTTGTTTTGTACATTTAACAAGGTACTTAATTATGATTACTAACTCTGTTAAAATCCTGGAAATACCAAAATACCTGGGTTTGCAATACTAAATATTTAATAAGTTTAGCAACTCCTACATAAATCATTACAATTTAGCATCACTTACAGCATGAATCATATCCATCAAAATGGTTTCTTGTTCTGGTCTCATTGATAATGTATCTAACTCAAATGCAACTGCCTGCCTTGCTGCTTCAATCTCTTCTGAAGACAACTTTGGCCTCAAAGTAACTTCTGACAGGACCTGCATAGTGATTAATGGGAAATTCAGATCTTATATACCCTGTACTGCGAAAATACTCTTTCGCCTATGTTCATCATAATGTAGGATTCTAATCGTAAAGAAATCTTCAAACAAATAATAATCAAATCTTCCATCATAATAAGTGTAGAGGTTCATAACTTTTTCATGATTGTTACCTCTATTACCTATAAGGAAAACTGCTTTCACCCTACATTCAAATCATCAGCCTGCCTCTCTAGCACGGCTTCTAACTGAAGGCTATGTATCTTCTAAAAGATATGTCTAGATATGTCTATGATATTATTGTTTTATTTTCCTTTAAAGTATGTCTTAAGTTATATCACATTAAATTTGACCTTAATTATTAGGTCATTTTTACCCCCTGAGAATAATCATCTTTCGGATAGGAGCAACTGGTATGTAAGAGCTAATATTACAAATAGAAATAATATTATTTTATTATTTATATGTATTTATAAATGGAAATCATACTGTTAATAATGTCACAAGAAAACAATTGAACTAATTGTGGCAAAACTAGATATTGATATTGAGGCTTTAGATATGGCAAGTACTTATATATTAAGGAATTTATTTTTATTATTTGAAAAAGATTTTAGAATGAAATGTTAATCCAATTTGTTACTTGAGTTATTGCTTCTAATCCTCGAGAGTCTGCACTGGTAGCATAAACTGTAGTGTCTCTTGATCCTTGGCAGTCACAAATTCCTCCATGTCTTTCCAATTCACGGAGCATCATATCCCGAGTTGCAAATTTATGAGTGGCCTAAAGTCATTTGTAGATTGTAGATTTTACTTTATTTACAAACAATACATAAATGAAACTAAAAAAAAAATATTTTGATATATGATTACTCACACCAAAACTCAGTTTTTCAAGAAAGTGGCATATTCCATTTGGATAGGACACCTCATATCTCGGTCCAGAGTCTATTACAACTAAAATAAATTATAAAATATTAAATATGATATCATTTTCATACATATTTTTGAATTCCACATATAAGGTTAATTACTGACCTCCAGCAGTACAGAACTGTCCGAACTTCTTTTCTGATGCCACCCTCAAACCATTACTGAGAACTGTCACTTCAGTTCCTACATCTTCAGATTTAGATGAAGAGTACACTACTGGAGGCAAATTTGGCATTGGTTCAGATAGTGGAGGAAGAGGACTGACACTTCCCTTAGATGGAGCTTGAGCTGACCTGTCCACATCTTGACTAAATGTTCTCAATCCCAATCTTGAACTGTTTAAACTGAAATATGATAAAATCCTTTAAATGATTAAACATTTGACAATCAATTTACTTAAAGCGAAATTAAAGACTGGAATCTTATAAATAAATTACAAAATTTACTAACAGATATTTTCAGTTAATTATCGTAAACATAAATAATATTAACGATAACATACCTTTTTTTCATAGAAAATAACCTAGTGAACAAGAATTTCACATCTGTAACGTGTGACATTTTACCAGATCTAAAATAACTGTTACATATGCAAAAACAACAATTTGATAACTATTCACACATATATTACAATTAATTAACAAGGATTTAAAAAAATATTTTAAGTATAAAAAACATACGATCCGTCATTCAAAGAGTTCCATTACTCTTTGGCTCAGACTTTGCTCTTTGGCAGTGTTACCAACTCCCAACAAAATAAAACCCTAAAACCAAACTCAAATAACCCTAAATAGCCCTGAATGGTGTAATCAAAAGCCCCAAAAAAAAGCCCTGTCCTACTTGTATTACCCACAGATTTAATGGTATAGTTTAAAAAAAAAAATCTATTTTATTAAGGTGATTAAAATAGACCTCAGTTTTATTTTCTAATATTTTTTTAGTATTAATTAATTAATTACTATTAGAAACGCATTCAATTAATTTTTTTTAATCTAAAAAAGGTGACTATTTGTCTTTTTTTACATGAATAAAAACGCACTCTAATACACGAAACTCTCCTGTCTTTTCTACTAGTTTACTAAGAAGAAAGGAGCCAAGGATTTGATGAACGAAGCCAAAAAGCATACTATGTTTTATGACAAAAACCAATCCAATAAAAAAAAAAACCATGACACGAAAATAAAACTACAGAAAATGCAAATAGATTTAAAAAATGTCATATTGAAGCCATAGCAATATACTACATATGTCGCCTACAGACATACACACATGTCCATCTAAACATTTGCTTCTATATAATGAACAATTGGTACCTGTTTTGTCAATAATTTAACGTTTCATCCATTGTCGAATTCGAAGAGAAAATAAAGTTCTTTTGTATGTCGTAAACAATGTTGGTTAATCTATTTTAAACCAAATTAAAAGATTTAATGGGTATTTTAGACATTACCAGTTTTTTTTTTATTATTAATTAATTTATTTTTTTAGCACTAAAATTAGCCCTAAATTTTCTTGAGCCCTAAAAAAAGCCCAATCAGTTTATTTCCGCCCTAAATTTGGGGCTAAAAGCCCTAAGTTGGTAAGCCTGCTCTTTGGAGTTCTCTCTTTTTTTTAATAATTTATTCTTGGCTTGGATGCTTGTCCTTTAGCCGAAAATCAAACAAGATGTCACTATGTTTGTATCTTGTCTATGATATTCATTTGAATTTTGTTTCTGACGTAATAAAAGTAAATTGAGTATCGAAAATTAATAAATATTACATCGTTTTATGTTTCTTATAAAATCGAATTTTAAAATTAATTTTAATTTATTTGGTATTTAGTGTCAGATTATGGAATTTGATCCAATTTACTATGGTCATTATTGTATATGTAATATAATCATAATTACATATTAAATTAAAACTACTTATCTAAACTATAATAACTAAACTAAATTAAAAATGTCTCCCAGATCATTGCCTACAGGTAAGGTACCCAGAAGGCTGCGAGCGTTACCTCTTTGAATAGCTAAACTAATTCTTTGGGCGAGGTACAAACCAGCCTTCTGATCACCTGACCTGTCAAAAAATTTCTTTTTTAGCTCTTGATAAAGACGATGGGCTCCAGGGCCCCACGGACCCATCGTTTCAAACCCAAATGGCTCAAATATGTAGGTATTACTTATACCTGAATATTTTCGCCGTTTGAGGCTTTCTGCAGCAGCGGCGGCTACACCCGCCTCAAGACATGTTCGTGCAAGATGAGTTGGCGCCAAAGTATCAACGCAGGTGGCATCCCATACTAGGGGTCGACCCATCCTCCAAGGTACCAAAGACATCCCATCAGGTCTCTTACCGTCGTCGCGAGTCAGCCCGTTCGGTTCTAGAATGGCTGGCACTGACGCCGTAGCAAGAGCTCGACGGATGATATCATTGATACTTGCATGTCGAGAGATACGACCAGCACTTTTGCTACAAGATAAGCCGTGATGACCTAAAGAGTCCACCGTTTCACAAGTTATTTGCATGTTACACTTTGCATAAATGTAATTTTAGCCAGAAGTCATGTTATTTTGTAGGAATACATAGTATATTTGATATATATCGTGTAAGTATATAGATAATAAACGGATTTTTTATTATATTTATCGTTTTTATGACTTTTATTGCTGATTTATAAATTTTATTTATTCATTCACCATACATAATATAAAAATATTATTGAGACTTGATGTAGTTTTGTTGTTATAAGTTCAACAAACAACTAATAGCAATAAAACTAACTTACCTAGTTATTATTGTTTTCAAAACTTTTGTTAAATATTATAATGAAAAATTCCTAGACCTACTAATTTATATAAGTAATTTGTTTATAAAAACTATTTTGGCGGTAATATTATTGTATACCGTAGCTAAATGCCACTTTTAATTATATCACAGCATTAATTCAATTGATTTCCATAAATTTAAAAAGCCTCTGGGCTCACTTCCATTATGTTAGTTTCGAAAAAGAAATTTATTAAAAGATTACTTTGTATTATTCGCGTTGCGTTTGCATAACTCGAACTACTCGTAGTTAAATTTCAACTCGATATTAATCCGAGTTATCAGATCCCTAACAACACTGATAATTCTATTCTCTTTGGTTTAACGTCATGAATTGACGTTTAGATCCAACAATTTGTACTGCCATCTAGTGACATAATTTTTTGTAGTTTCTTTATTTTTTTTAAATACTTCCTTATTGTTGTATCTATTGTTGAAAACCGCATCTAAAACCGTTGCGTAGTTTTAAAGACGGAGAAAGCGACTTTGTTATATACTATGTAGGTAGTGATTATTCAAGTGATAATTACTATAATAAGTTTGTTCCATCTTTTTTGCTTCCAAATAGAGAAATTATAAATACTTATAACGAGCTTGTGTCAATTCTTCTGAAAAGACTATCGTTCAATTATTTATTGTATTTGAGGCTATATACTATAGTATAGTTTTCTGGGCCTGTGCAATATGCTCAAGCTATGGAACGAGCCCCCATTTAAATCCTGTAAAATTTTATCGATATTAAAAAAAATGCAATGCGCCACGCTATTAATCTATTAGGTTGGTGTTCTGTATATACCTACTAAGTCTGTGTTCTGTATTATTATGTTTGATTTTGGCTTATCATGTTGGTATTAATTTGATATACAAACAAAGAGATTTTAGGAATTTTCACATATTTTATTTTTATAATTTGTTGCATTCAAAAAGTGCTAAAATGATTTTCATCAAATAAAGTATATTACATTAAAAAGTCGATAAAACTGTGTAAGTTGTAGTTTTAGTGATAAGGGTACTTATGAAATATTTATGAGCGTGTAAGAGTTCCCGTGGGTTTAAGATCGCCCCGTCGTTGCGGGTTTTTGTGTTAGTTTTTGCTTTCAATATATCCGATCCAATATGAATCGCACACATTTAAAAACTATGATCAGGATGCTCTCCTCTGTACCAGTTGTTCCTCGTGTCAGTATTATTGGAGCTGGAGCAGCCGGCTTTTATGCAGCCATGCACTTGTCTAAAAACGTTGCTAATATTCAGATTGACTTATTAGAAAAGCTACCTGTACCTTTTGGATTAATAAGGTAAGATCTTTAATAGGGATGACGACAAAATTTTGTTTGTAAAAATATTAAAAACGTATTTTTTTTCGTTATCATTAAATTACGGAGATGGATATGGACATTGAGTTAAAACTGCATTTTATAAGGAATACCAAAGTAATATCGACCTTGTTATAGACTTCCATGCCTGCTATAATGAAACTGTTCATATACCAGAATTGTAGTATGTACTATATACTTTTTTATTATTTTCGTTTAAACTGTAGCCGGTATATACCTGTTCTCACTAATGGACGTTTTGGTCGTTTGGCAGTGACGCGTGTGCTTGTCTCTCATAGCATGGATATTGTGCTGTAAGCGTATTGCGGTGTCTCATTGGAGTGTGTATTGATCTATCAATGCTAGCGGTGCCATCCTATAAATAATGGGACACTTAGTATATAACCTTGTCATGATGTTATTTTAAGTGTAGTTTTATGAGAGCCTGATAAATAAAATGTTATGTGACATCATGCTTCGGTACATTTTCTACAAAACTGTGATGTAGTGAGCCCCCACTCCTTAATTTGAATGCTGATTATCTAAGCCATTTCTTGTTAAATAGAAGTGAAAAATTTTTTTATCTAATTAACTAACTTATCTGACTAAATAGAATTTCTTTTTTTTTTACCCAGTCATCCCTATTTACATAAGTAAAGAAAGTATTGATTTCATTAATATATTCCTTTAAAACAAAATTCCTTTTAGATATGGCGTAGCTCCAGATCATCCAGAAGTGAAAAATGTGATCAATCAGTTCACTAAAGTGGCCCAACACCCGAATGTTAACTTCTATGGAAACGTAACACTTGGGAAAGATGTGTCTTTAAATCAACTAAGACAACATTATGATGCTGTATTACTGGTTAAATCTACATTTCATTTCATAAAACTGTAGTAAATATCACCTAATGGAATAGCTTTTTAATGTTACATTTTATGTTTTAATAGTGTTATGGAGCAGATGAAGATAAAGCACTAGGTATTGAAAATGAAGACGCCCAAAATATTATTGCTGCTAGAAATTTTGTTGGATGGTATAACGGTTTTCCTAATGACAAAGACTTGAAGGTAAACATTTTCTGATTTATAATAGTAATATTTAATAACTACTGGTTTCACAAGCTGTATAACTATTTCAGGTAGATCTATCTGGTCATACAATGGCTATTTTAGGGCAAGGTAATGTAGCTTTAGATGTAGCAAGGATATTATTATCACCTATAGATGAACTGAAGAAAACGGACATAACAGAACATGCTCTTGAAATTATATCTGAGTCTAAAGTAAAAGAAATTTATCTCATTGGAAGAAGAGGTCCATTGCAAGTAGCTTTCACTATTAAGGAACTAAGAGAACTACTTAAACTTAAGAATTGTAAAACTCTCTGGAGAGAACAAGATTTCAAAGGAGTTTCAGAAATAGTTGGAAATTTGGGCAGGCCAAGAAAAAGGCTTACAGAATTGATGTTAAAATCTTTACAGGAACAAAATCAAGAAGGTTTCATAGCTGATCAAGGACTTAAATATTTCAAGCCAATATTCTTCAGAAGTCCTATTAAGTTCCTGATCAGTGATAAAAAGTTGTCAGGAATTAAATTGAGCTGTAACAAGCTTGTTGGAGATACATTTGATGACCAGAGATGTGTACCTAATGGTGAAGTGGAGGAGTTAGATTGTAGCTTAGCCTTGAGAAGTATAGGATATAAGAGTATTCCAGTAGATAAAGAACTTATATTCACTTCATATGGCACAATAGCAAATAACAAGGGGATTATTATTGATAATAGTTGTCATTCAACTGACTTGGGTAAATTATATGTAGCTGGTTGGCTTGGAACAGGCCCTATTGGTGTTATATTACACACAATGGGTAATGCGTTTCAAGTAGCAAAGGTTATGTGTGAAGATCTAAAAATCCTAAATAATTCAAAACCTAAAGGTGGTTTTGAGGAAATACGAAAAATAGTTACTGAAAAACATAACCTGATAGTAGACTGGCATGGTTGGGAAAAAATTAACCGATATGAAATTGAACAGGGCAAAATGAAAGGAAAACCAAGAGAAAAGATATGTACTATTCAAGAAATGTTAGAAGTTGCTTTTAGGTAATATGAATCAGTAATAAATTATTTTGAGAAGATGACATTGAAATATTAGAAATCTATAATACAATGTAATCATAATACCACAAGACTTATTTTTTAAAGATACTTCTATTGAAGTCATATCACTACACTAAGTAGTTGTTTTTAAATATATTTTTATACATTATCTCTTTTGTATTAATTAAATTATTAGTTGATCCTCTAGAGCAGGGGTTCCCAAACTTATATTTGAGTGCCCACTTTGAGAATAAATTATTTTTAGTGCCCCCATTTTTTCACCTGCTTTAAAATCCACTATACTCCATTCATAATACCATTAGACAGAAGTTAAGTAAGGTTCTTTTTATGGTATACTTTGTGACAAAATATCAATAATCATGTTACTCTTAAGACTGATGGCTAATTTGTTACATATTCACTTAAATACCAGCTGCTAATCTTAACTGTTATCATTTAAGCTATCTATTAAACAAATTTATGAATATTTGATTAACTTAAATGATTTAATAACTATTACAATAAAAAGTGTTCATCTTAAAGAACGTAAAGAAGCAGGGTTTGATAGTTTCGGCACGATTCTCATGTCACTATAATTCTACCAAATTTAAAACATTCCCTAATACCTTCAAACGTTTGGGCAGTACAATTTTTTTAATTTTGTCAGACTATGAGGTATTCATAATTGTCAAAATACATAATCTGGGATTGTCATCCATTGTGAATGCTACTGCCTTTCTTGTTGTTTAGCCCTTTTCCATGTTTAAGTTGTTATTGTTTTATTTTTGTTTTGTTTTTGTTGTTAAGTATTATTAAATATGGACCATGCCAGTGCAGACCCTAGTGGCCTACAACAATTATGCTCTAAGCCCCCATACCTACCCTCAACCTTTGACATTTCAAGAAGTTTTACCAATGTCTTCATCAATAGTCTAATGTCTGAATAAAAGTAATAATAAAAACTTTATTTTGTTTACCTTTCTTTACTGGGCATGGATATAACTAAATTCTATTCTAATTATAATCAAATCAACAGATAGATAGTTTAGTTACATGTTGGCTTGGGAGTAAAATATGAATTTAGAAAATGCTGGCCTCATCGCAACCTTGAGGTATCGTTAAAATTAGAGAATTGCTTAGCTCTTTCAGTCTACCTACCTATACGTTCAAAGTTTCAACAAAACTATAATACTTATATATTTTTTAAAATTTATCTTGAAAATAAAATGTTCTGCACTGCTGCTTCTGTGACCCTCTTTTTTCTAATGTTGTAATGAATGGAGTATATAACTTCAAATTAAATTTATTATTGTAAGCTATATTAGCGGAGATTAAATATTAATTTTAAACGAGACTTTAACTCACAAGAGGAGTTAACTTTAAATCTGAGCGCAGTAGGTAATAATTCATAACGGCGCTCAGGGGTGCGACCGCCTAACTGTCGAGAGTGTCAAGCCATGATTCTAGCCATAGGATACGATAACTTTGTGTACGACAAACGAATGACCTAACAAATGTTCCTTGCCCAGCCCAGCAATAACCGAATGATGATTGCAGCGTTGCCAACTTCCACGGTCTGGATAACCCAAAGCCTTGTTTTTCCCCAAAATTGGAGATTAAACCCCGCAAGTTTTCAGCAAAGAAATAAAAGTATTATTCATTTAAATCAAATATAATTATTACTTATAATTAAGTATTTATTTATTTTAGTTGACGTATTTACTACAGCTCTTCATTGCGCCAAATTTGCTTCGTTAACATATCATTAGACGGCTCAAATTTTAGGCTGCCTCCTTTTTTCGTAATACCGTCTTTAGTGGCCATAAGCGCTACAACAGTATCATTCTGCAGCCGATTTCAGTTTTAAAATTACTCAGAACGCTGAATTTTCTTTCAATGCATTCGAAAAGGGTAAAACGAGTAATAGGCTTATTGCATATTTCAAATTTAAAAACATTCCATGACTTGCACTGTTTTTAAGACGGAACACTTTAGCCTAGTATGTTTCTGGATTGTCATCATCTTGTAAACCAAGAGCAGAGTAATCTAACATCGTGTGTGCTCTCCATTCGTCATCTAGTTTTTAAGATGTCACTACATTTTCAAATATCGGAAATCGTTGCAACAAGGGTTTAAGGGATTTGACTTTCAATTGCTGTGCTTCTGATGGATTCACTACAGATATAAATGAAAATACTATGTCCGAAAAATCAAAACGCTTAGTAATATCCATAGTTAGTTCAATATAAAAGGCTTAGCAGGATTTATAAAAATCTGCGATCGAGTTTTTGAAGGGTCAGAAAATACAGACTCTATCAGATTTGCTTTTAGGGGAGCATATTGTTCCAATACACGATCTACGCATGCTTTCGACGAGAGCCATCGAGTTCGCGCTGGTGCAAGTATATTGTGAATGTCAACATTGAAAAAGTCAAAAAAAAAAATTGAAGTTGAACAAACTGTACAAAGTGCTGACTCATTTCCATCTTTCAGGTGTGAACTTTTTCGTAACCAGCTTTTAAAGTCAGCTTCTTTGAACCACTGATCATTAAATTTATTCAGACGTTTTACCTTTTTCATTTCACTTTCTGAGTTCATAGAGCCAGGCAGGTTTATATCGGAAGTATCAATATCTGATTCTGGAGTAATAGCGACGGATTTTGAGTTCCGTTTCCCATCTTCTGGTTTTCGCTTTCGTTCAGTCTTTAACAATGTAACGTTGTGTATTATTTAGACGCAACTTACATTTTCTTTACTACGGGACCGTTACATGCGACAGGATGCAATAGGTTTTTCTATCGGCGCTCTCAGTATGCGCGGATCCCAAGGGGCGGAGCTTAACTTATTGTTGGTAATAACCTCTGAGCTGCATTCGTTGTGAGGCGATCAGAGACAACCAATATACTTATTTGCGGATGACCGTACCGCTCTGCTAAAAAAAAAAGACGTTATCAATTTCGAAGTTTTTTTTTGATATTTAAATAGTGAAAATCTAAATTCCGCTGCGGTGAGTTTCTATAAATTTTTCTTTTATGCACTTAGTGCTTATGTGTGCTGTAATTGTTCTTAGTTATATTATAATATAGTGCTACCTGCAGTGTGTGGTTAATTAATGAAAAGTCATTAGGATAATTACTGGACTTGATCGGTACGTCTGTTGCGATAGGTCTTGGCAGATTGCCAATGGAACCTATTGGGATTCCAGGATCTTTGGTACAGCTGAGGACATTTGCTGCGTTGTGGGTTATTATTTAACCACCGTCGGCATCATACTATTTCCTGCCAACCTTCCGGAACGCTGTACTGACGGCATAAGTTAAGAGGATCCTGAAGCTGACTGATACTGAGCTACGACACTACTAATCAGGCCAGTGATTCCCCTATTATTTCATAACCATCGTAATAAGGAATCAGATAATAAATTATTGTAACCCTTAACTTTTGTTTCACTTTCTTTTTCCTGTGGCTAATCAGACCCGTTACAACAAAAATCAAAAATATATATGAAAGAACATTCAAAGTATTCGGAATGAAAACTAGTATTATCAATGCTTTAAGAATTAGCAACCAATAAACATTATTTTATTTCAATACTTTAAATAATGTCCATTATACCTATGGAAAGATACTAAACATCAAAATCCAAATGATAAACAACCAAATCTGTTTAACACATATATTAGTGCGATATCGAACCCACGGTTCACGGCATAGCACTACACCACCGAATGTGTCAGTAGATTATAAGTAGAAAAGATACAAGAAATATTGTCTCGGGTCTGGGTGTTGTGGTACCGTCGTTGTTTTCGATTTTCCATAACACAAGTGCTTTAAGTAACTTAACATGGTATCAAAACAATGTATGTGATGTTGTCTAATATTTATTTATTAATTATTTATCAGTAAAGAAATAAGCTTTTTTATTTATTAAGTCATTTAACCTTTTTTATTTTCGTTTCTGATCCCCTGGAACTAGATGAACTTGGCTCAGAATAAACAATATCTAGACTACCAGTTGCGGTTGCTGCATTCCGTGCACTAATTCTGGTACTGGTATTCTCTTTCTTTCACTCTTAAACAAATAAAATATAGGAAATAAACATGAACTAAAACTTACTGTGACAAATGATATCAATCAAGAAATATGTCAGTTATTTCAATCCAAACCAAATACCTACGTTAAAACAATTTTTGCATCTAGTATCTAAGTATAATTAATATTGAGTATTTGGTTTAAACATACCTTGGAATGATCGTCATCCTTAATAACTTTCTTTTTTTCGTTACATTTTAACAACCACTTGTCCATTGTAGCCTTGTATTGTACTTAATAAACGACAAGCGTCAAGCAGTATGTATGAACTCGAAATATGAATGAACACAATAACACTAAACTATTATCTACAATAATCTGTACTGGTTTCACGTAACAAAGCTAAAGTAATCAGGGACTTCCCCGAACAAACGATAAAGTTGGGCTGCGTTCAGAAACGGGTATATTTTTTACACTGATAGCAGGATAGCTTATTGAGAATCTTCAAAGTGGGAAAGAGACGAACTCTGGTCAGGTGAATTTTCACACGGTTTTGGAAAGCAACTATGGATGGAAATAAATGTTGCCATTAAGTCTAATACGAACCTGCTGAATAAACTGAGTTAAAGTTGAACATAATTAATAGATTATACATAATTCGAATACTTTTTTTACTTCTAAGTTCAGTTCTCGATAATAGTATTATTATTATCTGTGGTTCTAGTGTAAAAGTCTCAATTCCCCGCATTTGCCCCACATAGACAATCTCCCCACAAATTACCCAATTGAACTTAAAATCCCCGCAGTTTGGGGAATTCCCCACAGATTGGCAACGCTGCTTGCGACGCTCGGCTGTCCCAGTTCAAAACCTAGTAACTGTTTTGGACTAAATTTTACAGGAGAGCAAAAAAAATCTTTTAAGGGTAGCTCTTTTAAACTATTTAACACCTGTTGAGAAATTATTATTTACAAGAAGTAGTTTGAAACTGTTAATTTGATATATAAATTATCTGTCTAAGTTTCATTCTACAAATTTTATGAGCTAAAATAATTTTAACAATAAATCGTCTAAGTAAAAATTGACTTCCAAAACCATTTCAAACCTAGTAAGTTCTTTTACTAGATTTTGATCTGGTTTAACATATTAGCTAAAAATCAGCTTATCCAGATCAAAAGCTAGTAAATTCAAATTTATACAGCCATTTACACATGTATTTGTGTTTCATTAGGCGGTATTCATTTGTTTTTTTTTTCTTCTATTTGTTCTATTTACGTCACCCAGTATTTAATATGGAAAAATTGAAATATCGTGTTATTTACGAGTACGAGTTTCACCATGGTACCAGTGCTGCGGAAAAAGCTCTAAGGGTTAATGATATGTATGGCGGTTGTATCGCAAAAGAAAACACAGTACGTTTTTGGTTCCAACGTTTTCGTTCTGGAAATTTCGAGCCTCATGGACGGCCGGAGATCCAAGTTTATAATGAAGAATTGAAGGGTATTGTGAAAGTGGACTAGTGCCGGTGTCGTTTATTAGAGTTTTCTAAAATCTGGCCAGACGATTACGGCAGACGTCTATTGTCAGCAAGTGCAAACCATGCTGGAAAAACTAGCTGTTAAACAACCGAGGCTGGTCAATCGCTCTACGTCACTGCTAGTTCACGATAACGCTAGACCACACGTTGCACAACAGACGGCTACCAAATTAGAAGAGCTTCAATTGGAATGTCTAAGACATCCACCGTACGCCCCGGACCTTGCCTCCAAAAATTACTATATTTTTCGAAATTTTGAAAACTTCTTTAAAGGAAAAAAAATCAACTCCTATGGGGCAGTGCAAATCGCCTTCAAAGATTTTATTGATTCCCGTCCGAATGATTTTTTCAGTAAGGGGGTCAATGACCTACCTATGAGATGACAAAAGTGCATAGATAACAATGGTTTATATTATACTTTGATTAAATAAATATAGTAATTTCAAAAATATTCGACTTTTTGTTGATGCCATACCAAACACCAATTTCATATGTAAGGACCTAATATATTGTAATGGGGGCAAAACATTATATTTAAAGTTATTAAACGGCAACTTGTGATTTCATCTACGTGGACTCTTCGACACTGACTGAGCTTTCGACTACCGACTATGAGTTGTGAACATAAACTCATAATGTTAATTAAGAGATTGCTCATAAAAACTCAGTTCTATATTTCTCTCAGTGTAATTTATATATGCATATTTGTCCTATTTTATTGAATAAATAAAATAAACTTACGTCTTCTTTAGAATGAATTTTTAATTTCCGCTAATATAGCTCCCAATAATTAATGTAATTTGAAGTTATAGTAGTTTAAGTTAAATACTCAAAGTGAGCATAAGTTAGACGACATAAGTTTGGGAACCCCTGATCTAGTCTATGGTTCTATTGCTAATTTAACTTTTTTTGATGTTCTTTTTGTTTAGTCGAAATATCTTCTGGCACTTCAGTACCTTTATGTGTATTTCTCTTAATTTCTACTTCAAAAAATGAACAATCCGCGCACTTATTGTCTTTTGGCATATTAAATGAAATATTAAGTCTTTTAATTATTTGTCGATAAACTTCTACACTACAGCGAAAATCTTTACCTACTACTATAAACTTAGTTAGCAAAACTTAGTAACTCAATATTTTAATGTCTTACGAAAACCACAAAATATTGTTTCTATACATTTATTCACTTCATAACCCAGTAACTAGATTTGACAATTTCAAAAACCTAGTATGTGCTAACACATACTAGAATTTTGAAATAGTTAAAGATACATACTAGGTTTTATAATGGTTAAAACTTAACTTTTCATAAATTTAGAAGCACTTACTAGGTTTAGGGTACCCTATAACTTTTGATAGAAGTGAATTTTGATATAGGGCATTTTGGCATCTTGTGGGGACTTATTGGAAAACCACTTTTAACAAAAAAAACTCAATTTCTACTTTTTGTAGACTTACTAGGTTTTGAAATGGGACAGCCGTGCAGGCTGCGGTTCTGTACCGTATGAAATGTGGCGTTTGTGTCAGTGTCCGATGACCTGAGAAGGTCGTCGTCTGACTGGGAGGGGGGGGGGAAGGTATGCGGCTATCCCTATTGGATATAGCCACAAACCTTCACCCTTGGGACAAGATCCAAGTGCACTGGGATCGGGTCTTTGGTGTTGCAAATATAACTTTTGATTACCTTTTATAGTTATAGTTAACCGATAGGGAACAGAGAGAGAGAGGGGGGAATAATAATAATTTTATGTCAAAAATTTTAAAGTATTTTATGCTATGACATCATGATATTTAACTTGTCACTCTCCGATTGATGATGATCTCTGCCATCGTGGTAAGTTGTAGGGTCCACATTATTATTGATTGTTCAATAACTTTCATTGTAAGTTAAAATTGTTCAACATTTGGAGTGTGAAAAAAAAAGATCGAAGTAAAGGTACTTAGTTGCTTTATGATTTTGTTTAGCACAATTGCATAATGAAGAATAATTTATTACTACATTACTTTCCGCTTTTAATTCATTTATAAACAAACGGAACATTATTATTATATTAAACATTATTTTTGTTTTTAATAGTGGAATTGCCTATATTGATATTTTAAATTATCCCGAATTCGCCATTAAATATTTATTCATTTTATGAAATAATTGATTACTATATAAAAACAGTTTAATATTGATGACGTTGACGCGTAGCTAATTCAGGAAAATTTTCTTTGCAGCCTTTTCATCCTCTTTTTTATTGTCGTCTTACACTTAAAGCTCCCTAAAATTGGGAAGTTACCATCATTATAGAAACATTGGTTTGCATTATCGCGTTTTGTTTTATACTAATTTACTAAAGATTTACCATTTAATATTTTCTTTTGTAAAATAGAAATTCAATTATACTAATAGTATTGAGTGTTAACGAAAAATACACCCTAGTTATAATGAAGTAAATTTCAATGTCTTTGAAATTTTATATCATTTAAAATCTAACAATTTTGTATACAGCAATTTTTTTTTATTCGATACACAAACAGAAATACAATTAGATCAATAAATAAATAAATTGGTGAACACAACAACAAGTGAGTCGTTCGTTCGCTCAATCGACACAGGTACCTTTACAATAAAGGATCTAGCCATGGATATGGTTACCTCCATGAGATCGGCGGTCGGCCCCCAGGTCTCAAGTTAACTTTTACGGGCTACATCTGCCAATGAAAATGACTATTGAAACGCAACTTTATAGAATTCAATTAGAGTATCTTTTATTCAAAATAAAACAAACACAATTAATCCTTATATAAAAACTAATGAGAGGGATGAATCTGATGCTGTTTAATAAGTCTGTTGATTCAGGTTCCAATTTTCTCAAGAACAGTCACAGGTCGCCTCGCCACGTTCGGTAATATGCAAACGATTTCTCTTTTTAGTAAGCAGTGTTGCCACAGCACTACTGAACGTGGATATTCACACAAATATAACGATAGGAATGCTATCAAGATTCGTTGAACGATTGACCACAATCCAGGGTACAATGACGAAGTATTTTAAGAAAAAACGAAAGCACTAAAAAAGCACCTCACTAGATGGCGACTCTAACTTTTTAAGTGCGCTACGAAGCCTTTATGGCACCCTGTCATAGCCGGAGCGCCATCCGTAGCAACTGATATAATATTTTTCAAGGGAATCTCTATTTAATTACAAAACTTTTCCTATGTATGCATCACCTTTTGTATCGGTCTCTAAATTTCTAACAAAACAATAGTTCTTCACATATTTTCTCATCTCTAATTCACTATATCTCTATTAATTGACTTTTGTAAGTGACCTCAATGAAAGCTGAAATGGATTACCTAATAAATTTACTGTTGAAATTTTTTTATTTTCTTTGTATAAATGTTTCAAATATTGTAATGTAACGTTTAAAATCCGAACACATTATAATAAATTTTTTTATATGTAGATATTTCGTCTGAGCTTTGATTAAAGATGTATTCTGGAGGAGATTGTGATCGTCGTCATTTCTTGTGATTGGTCTGATGCTGCCGCTATTTGTTGAGGGGCTGAATTCGCGGCATCGCCTGCTTGTTGCGCGCTGATCATTTTATATTAATTGTTTTTTACGAATAATATATTTTTGGGCGCGCGATTGGGACACGTCGGATGTCACCACTTTACCGATTATTATATTGGGTCACCACTTTACCGAAATGTTATGTGTTTTATTTAATAGTATATAGGTTGATATTTAACTTATTGATAAGTTTACTATCTGACTCTATTTATGCGAAGGATCGGTAAAATAAATAAACGTGTTCACAGTTATGAGTTTACTTTCAGACCATTTCAGACTATTTGATGTTGAAGTGTCACTTACAAAATACAAAATATCATAGATTATGTTGCCACAGGGTGGTCGACAAAGATTATAAAACAGATGTGCCACACAAGGCTAGCCAACCGTCAGGGTGGTCGGAGCACGGTTTCCTGATGTTTAGACGGCTCTTTAAAATGTATATCGGTACGTATCGATACGATACGGATATTTATTGTGTAGATCCGGAATACGGAACTTTATTTTCTAACTCAATCTGTGTCAGCGCGCAAGATCTTGAAACGACAGTCGATGTGCCACATCCACTAGGACATGTTTCGACTTGCTTTGATATTATTATTATTAAAGTAAAAGAAAAATAACGGATACGAACGAACCTACATTATTAGACTTGTTAAATACATAAAAAAAATAAACACTGAAGATCTGGCTGTATTGCTCAATCGCTTTCGCCTGTCCTTAGAGGACGAAGTTTACTTCTACACTACATGTGCTTTGCTTTTATTTTTGTCATTTTGGAATTGTATTCAAAAGTACCAAAAGTATGATCATAAGTTGTAGTTTTAATTTAAATTACTAAGTATGACTCCCAATAAAATAAGTGTTGGAGACTATTTGATACTACAAAAACAAAATTACAAAAAGTTACTGAAATTTAATAAACCAAACCTAACAGTTACTGTGGGTCGTGATACGATTAACTTAACTGGAATTGAAGGATGGCCTTATTTTTCAGTTTTCAAAATGGTATCAAACAGTAGTAAAAAAAACAGGGAGTATTCATTAGAATTAACGCAAGAGATCGTTAACTTGAAAGATGAAATCGATGTGAAAATATCAGGAAATGATAATCGGAATATATTTGATGATGGTCATTCTCAAAAGTTGTCTGCGGCAGATATTGAAGAATTAAAAGTGGACTCCAGTAAAGCTTCAGACATTGTAGAAACACTGATTACAAACTCAAATACTTTTCATAGTAAAACAGAGTTTTCTCAAGAAAAGTATTTACGCAAAAAAGAAAAAAAATACTTTGAATATATACAAATAGTTCGCCCGAACTTAAGAATAATAACTGAGGTCATGTATAAGTTAGATCCAGGTAAAATACAAGGTATAAGAGTAGATACACTATCACAGATTATTACAATGGCTAATATACAATCTGAAGGAAATCACCTTTTATATGATTCTGGGTCAAATGGGCTACTAGCTGCAGCATTACTTAGTGCCATTGGCAACCAGACTAATGGTAAGCTGGTACACATGCATCCTGGAAACATGTCACAAAAACAGGCACTTCTGGCAATGAATTTCAATGAGGAGCATTTAAATAGATGTATTTCAGTAAATGTGTATTCAGCATTGAGACAGTATTATCAAGGATGTGATACTAATGATAACACAAGCAGTGAGTTAAATCATCTAAAGAGAAAAGCAGAAGATTGTATAGAAATCAAAAGCAAAGTATCCAAAACTGAAAATGCCATTGACAAATATATCAACACAGAAGATGATAATATATCAGAAGATAGTAAACCAGAGCCTAAAAAACCAAAATGGCATTTTGATAATATAGCAGCTTCTACAATATTGAAAGATAAAATGGATTCACTGGTTATTGCTTGTAAAGAAGATCCAAAAAATATATTTAATGAATTATTAGAATTTGTGAAACCAGGAAGGCCTTTTGTCATATATTACAATGTGGCAGAGCCTCTTCAGCAGTTGTATATGCTACTAAAATCAATGAGTAATGTTGCTGCTTTAAAGCTTTCATGTAACTGGATGAGAAACTATCAGGTTTGTTAAAATTTAAGCCCCCATTGAAGTAAAATAATTATTTTCTACATCTAAATCCTTTGTCATTTATTAACCGACTTCAAAAAAGAGGTTCTCAGTGTGACCTGTATATAAGTATGTTTGTGTGAGATTATCTCTCATTTGGTTGAACTGATTTTGATGTGGCTTTTTAATATGTAACTTATAATTTTCTTGTAACATTAAATCCAACACCTTGTTTTACATTTTACATATAATGATACATTACATATCTTTACTGTTGTTTGTTGTTTTAAATAATAACAAATGAGTTGCTCAAGTATTCACACTATAATTTTCAATAGATAATGTTATTGCAGATATCGTCAACCGTAATATGAATTAATGTAACCGCCAAATGGCTACTTTACAGGAGAGCCAAAAAACAAAATTGAAATTACAAAAACAGTTATAACTTTTTATGTACTAATCCGATTTAAATACTGTTTTAACCGTTTCTGTAAAATGTTTAGATCTATTAATATAAATAAACCATATGAAGCCTAGTTTTATAGATTCCAAGATGACATGGTGGTTACGTCACTTTTTTCGAAAAAATATCGAGTTACCTTGATTTTTGTAGAAAAAAATATAAACAGCTTTAAAGTAACTCACATTGCATTTCTCCAAATTTAACGTATCGTATCGTAATCGTACTAAAAATATAAAAATCGTTAACGTATATCACACTATTTTTAGTGTATGGACATACGTTATAGTAGGATGATTAAAGAATTTTCATTATTATTCTCTAATGTTAAGGTCTAAAATAGAATAATCTTTACATTTACTGCTAGTTTGTGAAAAAGGGTTTCAGTATGAAAAAGCCACATTAGAAAAACAGTTTTATTGGTTTCAATTAATAACATCATAATTATTTTTGAGATCAAAGTTACAAAACAAATCAGTCTCCAAATTCAATAATTATTAAGTACCTATTTGTTTCATTTTCCTTATTCAAATAGTACCAAAGTACTTACAATAGCTATAAATTCTGAAAAATCTACTGAAAGATCAATCATTTTAGCTACGAATTAACTCCCTTACTTATAAACCTTGTTTAGCTTGAGCTTAACTTAGATATTGTTTAAAGTGATGCTGTGACTTTTATGTCAATATTGCCTAAACAGGACAGCATCACTTTTAAAAATTGTTTAAGTTAAATGGGGTTTATTAGTAAGGGGGTTCATGAATAACTACTACTTTCATAATAATTAATAAACGATTTAAAAAAAAGTTAACAAACTTAACCAATTTAGGAAATCTAAAAAAAATATCGAGATATCAATAGATTAGATAAGTAAAAGTTTTCTTTTGGATGCTCATAAACTAATACTTTAATCCGAACAAGCATAGTTTAAGCCAAAGAAAAACATTATTTTTTCATGAATTGGAAATAAACTGACGGCAAAAGAATTATACTAAATCAAAATTGAAAAATCGTACCTACTATATCTTTGAAATGATTAAATATTTTTCTCTATTTCGCTTCACCACTTTTTTCTTTTATATTTGTTTAACGCTTCCCGTTCTCTTTCGTAATGTTATTTTTACTGCCTTTTCTTCCTTTTTCTCCTTTGCAGCATTTTTCTCCTTTAGTGCCTTTTCTTCCTTTTGCTCCTTTTTTTCAATTGCTGTGGGTTGTAAATCTGAATTTCTTAAATTACGACATTGTTTTTTTGAGCACGAAACTCTTGTATCTAGCTTATCTGTTTTTTTATTTATCTTATTTGTTTTTTCAGTTTTTATACTTAATTAGTTTTTTCATCACGATTTTTTAAAAGCAGCAATTCTAACACTTTCATTCTAAAATTAGGGTTTGACGTCGTCATTGGTGAAAAATACAGATCAGTTATGAGCTGCCAATTTATAAACTCACTGTGATCTAAGGTAGTTACCACGTAAGGTCGCGGATTTTTACGTGCCGTAAGCATTAAAGTGGGCCATTGTGCAGGGTTTCACACAATGAGTTTTCGTACCTCACGTTCGATGACACTATGCATCGAATCTACTGCCATATAACTGTGGCCTGGAAGTAGATAGTTGTATTACTTGTTAGTGTGTTGAGTGCTCAAGAAAGTATTTAAACATACTCAGTATAACCCTATTTTTGTTTTGACCCCAGCAGGAGTCGCAGTAGAAAATTACATATTTTGCTCCCCTTTTGTCAAGGTCAAGGAGATATTTGTATAACCATGGGGAGTATTGAGAACTTTTTGAAGATCGAAGCTAGCTACTATAGTCGAGTTATCCTTGTTTAACATATTGCGATGTATTTCATATCTTTTATAGCATGCCTTTTTTTCTTCTACATGAATTTTGTACGCAAGTCTCATTTTCATTTAAAACATTAGTGTTGTTTTCATATTTAATACAAATCTTGCACTTATCTTTCTTTGAAATATGAAAAGTTATGTTATACTCCTTAAAAAGATTAGTGAAAAGTCGCTCACTTAGATAAGAATGTGAATTTATTCACAATATTTCATGTAAAGCCAGTACAGATTTGTTATGTTCTTAAAGTCCTGGAATAAGTAGAGTTTACTTGAGTTTTGTCTGTTATAGTGAGATGGTAGTACTGGCAAATTTTCTATATATTTTAATTTTTTTATTTTACCCAACCAGTAGTACATTCTTCATAATCCATTTCTGTGGCGACTTCTAAATCAGAACGTAGTGCTGTAAATAATAAATTATTAAAATATGTAAGTAGATTAAACTTGGTAATACAGATACTAATTGTTCATCAATGAGCTTACTAAATGAATTTCATAATAGATATACAATAATTTTCTATGTCTACTTTCGTAAACAGTTTTATTCTCATATCGGAGATGATTTTTATTTTACTGGTTGAGGCGTGTGTATTTTTCATTTTGAATAACATTCTGATTTGCTAGCATGCATTTAATCTTATCATTTGTATTCTCGATACAAGACTCAACATTAGTAATACCTAAAGCCTGATGGTTCCAGGAAATGGCCGCAGAATTCGCAGCGCTGCTACTATTTTCGTCATTGTTAGTAGAATGAGGCACTAGGTGGGGAAAACTTACTTCTGAGTCTTTAATAGCATCAGCATTCAGGTCATGTGCTTGACTAAAATGTTCCTCACAGAGCAAGTTAATGGAAGAAGATTGAAAATCATTGGTGTTTTTTTGTAAAACCTCATAATTCTCCGACAACAGTGTGATTGAATCGTTGCTAGTAGCAGATTTATTATTATTAAATGCGTCATCTTGGAAAAATGGATGGCTTATAGGTAAACAAATGGTGGAACTATTAATGGTTCTTATATCATCATCAGTGCTGTATACAGTAATACCGTACACGGTACTTACAACAGAGCTTACAAGCTCTGATTGCAAACTAACTTTGAATTTATAAGCTTTGAATGTAGTTCAGTATTATCAGCGTCACTGTCCTCAACAATGTCACTATCATTTTCCTGTTTATTACCTGCCTGCATTCTAAGAAAAACAATGTCAACATCTGGTTATTAAATTTTATCTTCAGAAAATATTGATCATAAAAAATGTATTAGAAAACCCGTTATTAAAATTATTTAATATTATCTTTCTATACAAAGCAAACAAAGGTGCAAATGGAAGACGATTGTTTGTTTGAATAACTTCATATAAAATAATATAAATAAACTGTTCACGTGGAAACATAATATTTAATTTAACGAATAAATAGTGATTTTTACATTACTTACCTTATTTTTATATCCCTCTGCTTCAATAGTAGATTTTTCCGTGCTATTAATTCCGTTAACTCAGTCATTTTAACTTAATTTTAAGGACACGCGTTACGGTCACAACTTGCAGGACCCAACTGTGATCAATCACAACAAACAGTCGCACGCGTTTATTAGGTAACTAAAAATATTATCCATTTCAAAAAATTGTTGAAGTTGTTATTTTTGTTGAATTTGTAACTTTTATGATTTATTTCTATGTTGTACTAAATTAAATTTCATTTTGAAAAAGCAAATCAAGTATCATCATAAATTTAATTATAATGATAGTGAAAACTTATTTAGCTGCACTTAACTTAAAAGTCATTTTACATTGCGTTTAATGAAGAAAGTTAACGTAACAGTCAGAAATATGGAACTAAATATAAAATCAGCACCGTAAAAGTCAGTTTTTTACACATGACCTTTACATTGTTGATATTTTCATTGTCATTCAGTAGTTACGTTAAAAATATATTCTTATTCTGCCCTTACAGTAAATTACAGTTTATCTATTTTTATAAAATGCATCATACGTCACAAAAGTTAATATAAATGAAAAAATCTACTTAAAATTTTATTAAGGTACTCGACATTTTTTTCAAGATATCGAGATTTTAAATACACCAATCGATAGAGCGGAAAATTTGCAGTCGAACTGTATATATAACTCAATATCGCCATTTTGGCGGTTACATTAATTCATATTACGGTTGACGATATCACTTACCCTTGCTGTATGATATTCACTATGCTTGTTACAGGTTTTACCAGATAGGACACATCCAGAAGTAACAATGGATGGGGCTGGTGGGTTTCTTTTGACAGGTTATGTTTTGAAATAAACCATTTTAAAACCATGATTCAGTTGCCTCATTGAATAATCAAACAAAAAAAGATTTTTTAGAAATTTATTTTACGCTTTTAATTATTCAAATGCACATACCATATCTAAATGCATTATAAACCTGGATGATTGTGTGATTGACATGCTATATTAGCTATTATTATAAGTATTGCTGTATAAATTTATTTAATTATATTATATCAAAATATTCCAATTTATTGAAATCTTTTGATCATATTGACATATTAATTTCGTTGTAACTAATATATTTTATTACAACACTGTCACTGGATAAAAATATTTAAGGCATCTAAAAGGAATGTAAATCAGTCTAAATAACAGTTTGCATTTGATATAACAATCTGTGAGCTTGCTTATCATATTAGCTCAGTACTTTACACAGATGACGTTTTCAATTTTTATTTAGGATTACATAATGGTAAAATCTATAAAACTAAACATTATTTACTAGTCAGCTTTAAATATGTTATTCGAGAGGAACGATAATCGTCAAATCCATATATGAAGATCTAATGATGAGACTGATAATTTTGGCACTTGGAGTGCATGGAGCTGCAGAACACATTGAATTCTTACCACTTACAATGACTATATTGTCCTCAATTGTTTATGTTTTGACGTTAGAAGTGGAATGAGATAGTTGTAGTTTTTTTTTGTTTAAATTATCATTATCTATGATGGCTAAGTGGTAACAATTTTTGGACTGCATACATAAAGCACCATCAAACTAGAATCGAACTATTTTGGACCAATGTTATATGATTGTTTTGTGTGTAATTTCCATGCCATAGATGCAATGAGACAGAAATTATTGATATGGTAAATATAGAAGCAATAGCAGCGAATATATGCGTAGCCTACATAAGCAATTAATTAATATAATACAAAAAGTAGTAAGCTTCCTTTCTTCACTTGTAAATATTAATTCATTCAAATAATTAAATAAGATATATTACTCGTATATTACAGGTTTTATGATAAAATAAAAACATTTAATAAATATTACAATTTCTGTTAACTTAGGATTTGAATCTAAATCTGAATGGTTAACAAAGGAGAAATGTACCATAGAGATCTTCCGAATTAATAAAATGTACCATAGAGATCTTCCTAATTAATAAAAAATAATTTATGATGAATTTAATTTGTATTGTACTTACCGGTTGACAACTGATTAGGAAATAAATCACAAAAAATATACTTAAGCAGTTGTGCAACCATATACTATTAGGCATTTTAGTGCTCTTTTAACCTAATGGAGCATAGGACGCGATTGTGTCAGACATCTTCAATATTGGACATTATAAACGATTTATATCAAAATTTTTAATTTAGGACAGTCGTACTGTACGTGTATTCGCACCAATAAATCGTAGATATAAATAAAAGCAATACACAAATGCAGTATCACTGTCCTCAAAATGTTAAATAAACTTTGGTATTGGTGTTTTATCGAAAGGCTAGCATGGCTGTGGTCAAAACAGCACTAAACTATAGTAAACCGGGACAGTAAGCCCTTGTCAAAGTACAACAAAGACGTGGTTCATGGTCTTTTCTCATTTTACAATACACAGTACACTACAAACAAATATTGCAATATACATATGAGCCTCGTCATATTTAAAAAACCGTTGTACAACAAACGAAATAATTTAAAATATTTTTGTTCACGGTGATTACTATCAGACTAAAACTTAACCACGAATGCTTGAACGACTCACTGTCACTGTTCACTATTGTATAAAAGTTCATAAAGTTCATCTGGTCATGTCCAGCGCGATTGTTAGCTTCAATGGCGAGTAATCGCTCTGACGATGGCGCGTCGTCAGGTGGGCGCGGACGCAGTCTCGCTGCGCGCGTCCATCAGCTATGACGAGTCTTCGTCGTACCACGGGACGCATGGTAAACGCAAATCGCAGCTCTCATCGTAATCATCCTGTACGTCAACAAATAATATAATTTTGAAATCGTTCGATTATTATCAAGTTACACAAAATTCGTTTTTAAGGACTTTTGTAAGACTTCATATTCATATTAGATTACTTACTTTTAATAATATTTGCGAAATAATACGATATTTTAATATTTGACTGAGAAACTAATTTATATAACACCGATAAGACAAGCAATAGAATTATGATGTCATAACCTATACTCCATTCATTATAGCATTAGACAGAAGTTAAATAAGGTTCTTTTTATGGTATACTTTGTGACAAAATATAAATGATCATGTTACTCTTAAGACTGACGGCTAATTTGCTACATATCCACTTAAATACCAGTTACTATACTTAACTGTTGTCATTTAAGCTATTTATTAAACAAAATTATGAGTATGTGATTAACTTAAATGATTTAATAACTATTACAATAAAGTGTTCATCGTAAAGAACCTAAAGAAGTTTTGGATAGTTTCGGCACGATTCTCATGTCACTATAACTCTACCAAATTTAAAACGTTGCCTAACCCCTTCAAACGTTTCGGCAGTACGGCTTTTTAATTTCAAAAATTACGCTCTAAGCCCCCATACCTACCCTCAACTTTTGACATTTCAGGAAGTTTTTCCAATGTCTTCATCAATAGTCTAAATAATTACACTTACAGTTAGAATTTATCAAAACAACAGACAGATAGTTTCAATTTTAGTTTCTTTTAATATCTTGAAAATAAAATGTTCTGCACTGCTGCTTCTATGACCCTCTTTTTTCTAATGTTATAATGAATGGAGTATAGTGATCTGTAAGCAGCACACGATAGTAAAGACAAACCATGGTCACATACGATATACAACAAAAAACTTTATTTTGTAAAAAAAATCTACACTCTTTTATTGTTATTATACCAAAAAAATTCTACCATATGTCAAAGGCTTGATTCCTCTATTAATATGGAAATACAAGAAAATAGCGAATCAAACCTTTGACAGACTTCTAAGAACTTACCGCCATCCAAGCGTGATCGAGTACGTCTTCTGCGGCGAATCGAAGTTCCGGCTGCGGCCGGAGCATGTTGGCGACGAGATCGATCGCTCCGGCCGACACTCGCTCCCAGAACGGCGCGGGGAATTCCAACCGTGCCGATAATATAGCGTCGAACAGTTTCTCTTGATCGCCATCCGGTGACGAGAACGGCGGGAACCCACAGAGCAGTATGTATAGAATAACACCCGCTGCCCACACATCGATCTACAAGACCAAACGAATTTTGCATCAGCTAATTACGAACTATTCATCATCATCATCACTGAGGGCACAGGTCTTACCTATGGATCGAATCGAATAGGGAGAATGGGCCATGACTTACCATCCCACTGCGGATTTGTGAGTGTTAGCAACTGCAGATACAGCCAGGATCAATGGCTTATCGTGCTTTCGAAGGCAGGGAGAAAGTCGAGATAATATAAATCTAAGAATATTATTATTGTTGATTTATGTTTTTTGTAAATACTAACAAATATGTATCCTTACTTAACACTGGATAATAAGACGGAGCTTGATAGTGCAGTTATTATCGCATTGTGCGATGCGGTGACTAAGCAACTTTCGCAAAGGCCGGTCATAGGATGGGTAACCAAAAAAATATTATCTCGAGCTCCTTCGTGCTTCGAAAGGCACGCTGAAGTGTCTGTAGTCGTGAATACCTACCAATCCGCGTTGGGTTTGCGTGGCGAGTTATGGCCGAATTCTCCCTATTTAGATCTATCTATAGGGAAAGCCTGGGCCTGGGGCCCAGATATTATTAGGCAGATGATGAATAATTATAAGTATAATCATTTACTTCAACTAAATAAGTTGTAAATAGTATATAAGCATTTAATAAGAATGAAAATACCAAGGTCAATTAAATTCAAAGTTTAAGGTGTAACAATTCTCAATAGAAAACAATAGTGAGATTTTTCTGGTTCTTATACTAGCAAAATGTAATCAAACTCATCCCCATGACACACTTTCAGAATAGAATACAACAAATGAATTACCTTGGCATTGTAATCATATACGTAATACTCGTAGCATTACACGCTATCATGGTAATTACAAAATGTTAATATTTAAGAAGTGTGAATTGTAATTTTTGTCTTTAAAGAAAAGGTGAATGTGTTTTTGGTTTCAGGAAAAAATGGTGACTAGCTATTGTATAATGCATGTAGACATTTAAAAGTAACATATGTAAAATTAACAATTAAATATCACATTCATTTATTCTGTAGGATATGTTTTGTTACGAAAGGTTACGAAAGTGCCAAGGTTTAGAAATCTTGGTTAAGAACACAACTAACTAGTCCACCATATTGGATTTAGAAAGAAATCATTTTATTATTTGCGCTTTTTAAAAAATTCTTTCATTTGATAACCATATCATGGCAGTGAATTAAAATTACTATGTAACTTTATAAAAAATTGATTTAATATGATGTTTTAGGTAACTATGTATCAAAATTTCAGCTTAATTATTTGAGTATAACTCTAACTATTTAGTTGTAATAATTACGAGCATACATATCTATGACACAGCCAAGTGGCATAATTAACTGACCAATTGGACGGTTAGCCCTTTTAGTTTCTTTTAGGTTGACTTTCTAGTTTCGATCAGGAGTAGCTGAAACGCATCGTTCTACAATACAGTTGAATAAAGGTTGGCCAACTAATTAACTGTCAATTCATCGGGAATACCGAATTTTTTGTAGGATTAGAAGTAAAACAAAATAGATATTGTAGTGGGTGATTTTATTTAACACTCAAAAAACCTTTTACAATTTGTAATCGACAAACATAGAGAAACGAATTGTCAAGGTGGTTTGTGGCCAAATAGCCATGACGCCAATGCCATTTATAGATGAAATTAAGAAAATTATGGCTGGGTTAATATTAATTTTGTTGTATTTTAGGCGAAAAGTCGAATTCTGTTTAATTCATTTATTTTTCATAAAGGAATAAACGCGTAGTTGGAGTATGTTTTTTTTAATAGGTAACAAAACTAAATTAACGCCTTGGCGGCTTTTGAATCAGCCGTCTTGTTGAACGGTTCAAATGACATAATGATTCAACTAGAAAACTAGTCGTGCAATTGCATGACGCCATCCAATTAAATGGCTAGCCGCCAAATCGAACAGTTGTTTTAACCAGTTGGCTGCGACATATACATTGCAAGTTAAATAAATGCTTGAAAGAAAAAGAAATAGGCCATACCTTTAGACCATAACCGGTTTCGAGGAGGATCTCAGGCGCTACGTAGGTAGGTGTGCCGCAGACTGCGTGTAACGGCCGCCATACTTCAACTGCGAGCCCGAAGTCAGCCAGCTTCAGGCCACGAATACTGCCATCGAGACCCACTTCCACCTACCAATAACCCCTACGCTTAATAGACTACCTTTACCGTACTTATTCACTTACCGTATCCACTAAAATTGCACAAATGTAAACAAGTTCATTGTCATTGTTATGGGAACAAAGATGTAATGGTTGTGTTGTTTTTTCACTTACACTTGTATAGAATTGGCTACTCGACAGTAATAACAATAGATCATGTTTATGTCATGTATTTTTTATTATAAATTAATTATTTTTGCAAAACGAACTTGCTATTTATAATCTGTTACAAGAACCGAAACGTGAGGGGCGGTTATGACGGATCCATGTGCGACGTCACACTTCAATAAACTAAGCGTCAACGCCATTGTTGCGAGTGCAACCAGTACTTTATTGACGTCAAGGCTCGAAATGTCACGTGACCGATTGTTTTTGCATGACAATTTAAATTAATGAATAAAAACACGTTATTCCTTTATTTAATAACTCTTTGGAGAAAATCAAATCTGTTGATAGTGGTTTTTCCAAAAGAGTCAAGAAGCCAATTGTGATTCAGCTATACTTTGTTCTGTCATGCATGTTATGTTCTGAACTCTCACGTAACCAACATCAGTGTCACCTGTTGTAGAATTTTTGGTGAAATTCCAAGAAAAACTTAACTGAATAACAATTAACAACCAATACATTTCTCTATAGGGAGAAACCTGACCAAATAAGTCACTGTGTATAAAACGGCATGATTGTTGACATTTGTAATTCTTTTAAAGTTCAATGAACACAACGCGAGACAATCAGCGTAGAAATGTTATAAACTATTTTCCGTCAGGTATTATATTGAAGAATATTACATTTTTTTTTTGTTATCAATTAAATATGGCGTTACATTGAGTTGAAATGTCGCATGACGTCGCGCTTTTGTACATTTTCTACAAAACTGTGACGTAGCGAGGACCCACTCCTCAACTTTAATACGTGTCTTATATTCTTTTTTTTACCCAGTCACCCATAGGGATGGGATAGGTATTCGTTACAATAGTGTAACGAAAATTAAATATATTAGTGATGATTAAATAAGTTACGGTAACAATTTTTATAAACACAAACTTTGTGTTACCTACTGCATGTTTTATATTCTCTTGACTATCAATTTGTCACTGTTTCATATTATTAACGTGATAATGAAAATAATGAATATTAATAGAAAAGCAAAAGCTTTAATTAAACAGAAACAATATGGGAGTTATGTAAACAAGGTCAGATGATAATGGATCCAATCGATTGTTATTGTCTCTTACCAATAAGTTTTCGGGTTTGATGTCACGATGCACTATAGAAAGCGAATGTAGGTATGCGATAGCTGATGTTAGGTGGCCGATTAGCAAACGCGCTTGTGGTTCAGAGAATTTGCAAGCAGCCGCAATACTATCGAATAAGTCGCCACCTAAAAATAACAATAAATTCTCGTTAAATGCTGGTGCTGGTCTTGCGAGTGTTTATGGTTTATTTTTAGTTTTATTTTCGAAAATGATTGAAATCTTTTTGATTAGGAATAAATTTACATGAGTATCATTGAACTGGTAAGCAAAGTATTCATAATTTTGTGATCGACAAAATGTACATGGTCAGCCAGAATGACTAATTCAATAGCAGCTCAGTTTATTAATTTTCAATTAATGCCTTATTGGATTGCACTAAATGCTTTCGTAATTTATTAAAGTACTTGTTTAAATCAAACTTTAGTAACTAATATTGAAATAAGTTTATCTATACTAATATTATAAAGTGGAAAGATGTGATTATTTGTTGCATCGAATAGGCTCCGAAACTACAGGACTGATATTTAAAAATTCTTTAAAAATTGCTACATCACACGGGGCTGACATATGCTATTATATACGCGAAGTCGCGGAATAACAGTTAATATAGTTACAAAATTAACTATTTAAATATTAAAACTACTATTTAAATATTTTTCTGTTAAATTAGAATTCATTTATTTAATGCACATGCCTAGGCCATATAACAAAACAAAATTGAAAGCTAACTAATTATAAAAGTTTGATTTTGTTGTTTCGCAGGCATGATTTTTTCAATACGCGTTAGTTAAACTGTCTGCAGATATGCTTTATCTAATGAATTATTGTAAAGTCTCGTTGACAATGTTATTATTATACACTGACTGTTTAGCAGATGCAAAATGTTAAAAGCCAACTGCATATCGAGCCTTTTTAGGAAAAATATCGTAAGCACCAAAATTCCAAAAATGATGTTTTTCTACTAATTGTTAGACCACTTACATTTGCGCCTTTCTCATTTACTTTGAAGTCAAAAGTTGTAAAAATTCATTTTTATAAAATTCTGAAGTTTTTATCGTAAGAACAAAAAATATAATCATTTTGTCGTAAAAAGTAAAAATTAATGTATTTTGCTTTTAATTATTATTAATTATTACCACATTTCAATGTTCATTTAAATTAGATAGTTTCAGTAATATTATAGAAACCTTGAACCTTGAGAAAACAGTGTTTTTAAATTTAAAAGTTAATTCATCCTTGGCGTAAAGTCGCTTCATAGACTTACCTACGTTACGAATATTTAGAAAATTGAAGTTATAGTTCTAGTTGATGTTAACAAATGGAAGTGTACTACGTATTATTTTATGTATGCATAGAATTATCGACGGTTGAATGACTAATTAATCTCAGTGACATTTTTTCGATACTAAGTATTGGGTTGGCACAAAAGTAATGAGACACACTAGAAAAATCTATAACATTTCCTTTTTAAAATCAATTTTTTCGATAATATTCTAGAATGTTGTAGAACATTCTAGGTACTTCTGGTGTAGGGTATATAAAGCCGCGCTCGCGATTTGTTTAGTCAGTTTGAAGAAAAATGGACGAGCGACAAGTTCGAACACTATACTTATACTAGTACTTGTTAGGCCACAGTGCGCGGGCTGCGGCTGACAATATCAACAATGCATTAGGCGCTGGAAGTACAAGCCATGCGACGGTGTCCCGATGGTTTGACCGTTTTAAATCAGGAGACAGGAGCCTTGAAAGTCAGCCACGCTCAGGGCGACCACCCGCAGTGAATGATGAAGATTTGCGCCGCGAACTGCAGTTGAATCCGGATGCTACCACTCGTGAATTAGCGGAAGCACTTAAATGCAGTCACCACGCCGTGGAACACCATCTGCATGAGCTTGGTTATCGAAAAGTTTTGGCTCGGTGGGTACCGCACATCCTTACAGACGCCAGTCGTGCAGTCCGTGTCGCTATCTGTCAGTCACTTTTGTTGCGACCCCGACGTAAAGAGTTTTTGTCAGATCTGGTTACTGGAGATGAATCATGGATTTATTACGAGAACGATACACGTCGTGCTTCTTGGCTGCCTCGAGAAGAAACGCCACCAATTCAACCGAAGCCGTGTCAAAAGAACCGCCGAAAAATTCTGCTTTGCTGTTTCTGGGATGCGCAAGGCATACTGTTTTATGAGCTTAATCACTACTTCTCGAAGGCTACAGATATTCACGATATAATAATAATAACAAATTGTCCTTAAAACTATTTCATCTTGCTTGATTATATAAACCTATAACTTGACATTAAAATTTGATTATTCAACTAGATTTCATACAAAATTTGGCACAAAAAATATATTTTAGATACAATAAAAAAGGTAAATTAATATGAAAAATTCTTTAAAATGACACTTTTACGTAACTGATAAATATAAAAATATGTAATTTACATCATGAACATGAGCACATACTTTTCTATGTACTCATACTCCTATTTGGTGAAGCTACAACTTAGTAATTTTGTTCTTGTTTCCAACTCACTCGAGGAAATCTATAAAAAAATTTATCACTATTTTTGCCATTGTTCTTTCAGCCAACTACACAGCAGGTATCGTGACGCATTTTATTAATTTTTGCTTAAAATGCACAAATATGTACATTTCTTAAGTAAAAAGTGACATTTCGTCCGACAGAGTTTCCGGTTTAGCCACGGTGCGCGCTGCGATCGATTCGTGTTCTCCCACCTCCTACTTCGCACCCAGCGAATACTCTTAATTAAAAAGACAATCGACACCTTAGTCTTATGTGAACAGGAAAACTGTAAAAGGCCCGAAACATCAATAAAACTAAATACAAATGAGATGAAACCTTTTAAAAGTCGTTTCATTTATGGATAGTGCTCGTGAACATATAAGAAATCAATTAATATTTTTCAGTATAGCATTGTTAATGCAAAATTGATCAAATATAGTAATCGAGTGAAGAAGTCAAAACCATATCAAGGACAAAGAAAGAACATTAAATCTATTTCAAGAGGATCAGAAGATGTAGCTGAATCTAATTTTGTAAATATGGGACAAAGGTGTCACCCCAGACGCCTACGTTAAAGAATATATTGAACAACCCTGTGATGGGAATACCAGGATGTGTTACCCGGAAGGGAAAGCAAGGAAGATGATTGATTTTGTTTATTTGTAATTTTTACTTCTAGACAAGTACCTATAGGTTTTTAAACTTTTCTAGGTTTTTAAACCTTTCTTTCCAAAAACATATTAATTTTTAATTAGGAGACCCTTGACTCCTAACTAAAAATTAATATGTTTTTGGAATTTCTGACTCTTTCTCCCACTTTGACTATTGTGTTATCTCTAAAAAAATACTAAACAATGTTTTATTTCTACTTTAAGGTCCATATTTTAAAATTGTCGTACAGTCAATTGTCGTAAAGCGACATACTTAACCTATCATTTAACCAACACCTTTAACTATCATTGTCGTCAGATTTAAAGGAAGCGACATTTGTATTAGAATTTGACACTGATTCAAAACTTAACATATACATCAATAGATATATAGTCGAATGTACGGCATTTTCAAAATGATATCAACACTTTAAAAAATTTAAAAAAATACCTTTTGTAAAATACACAAAATGGCGGTTACGATGTTCTTCCTTAAAATGCTTGATATACATTATATTATTGATGATTTGTAAAGATGTCCCCAGACGAAAGGTTATTCTTTGATTTCAATTGAATGCAAGAAACACATAATCATACATAGTACGATTTTTGATGCCAACCAAATTTTCCTATCACATTTACCGGTGTTCATATTTATTATAAAAAAATCTTGCTGAATACGAACTATATGAACATAAATTATTTAAAAGAAAAAGAAAATTTTATAATAAGAATAACTTTAATATTTTTCTTCCACTTGAAGTTGTAATTAATGCCTGATTGTCAGAAATGTGCGATTGTAACAAAATTATACATGTAGATTTTGATATGACTAGCAATATTAAAGTGTTATTTATTTTATTACTTTATTTAAATGCGACGTTGAACTTGTTGAATAAAGTTGCTATTACACACAAAAAGACATTTTAATGCATTTTGTTCAATTATATTATCACATCATTATTTTTCATATTCTTCATAGTGAACATCTTCAGATATAAAAGCGTTGGATATTTATATCGTAACATACATTATATCGTAAGACAATGAATATATGTTGAAAAGAAAATTTAACTAAACAAATTGTCCTAATATGATGTAGTATGTTATTGGTTATTACAAAAAATGGAATATGCAAATACAAAACGATTGTTTTACTAAGGTACCCCATTATTCGGATTATATATTATCCAAATGATTAATAATAGCAATCAGTCTGGTTAACTGACTGTGATATTGAAATTGGCAACTGTGAAAAGCGACATTGATTACATACTATTATTGTGTGTACATAACATTCTAAAAACATGAATAAATAACCGACTTACATTGAACACGTAAGATAATTGAATCATTATGCTGAGTTCTTTTATTTACTCATATCAAGATTAGGTAGCTGACATTGATCAATATAAAATGCGAAATTTACATTCAATTACAGATAATCGTTATTTTATACTCTTGAATTATTATTGTTTAATAAATAGGTTCAAAAGATGCATATTTTTGAAAAATTTAATAAGTATTTTTTGATCTGCGTGTCACATGACTTCGAAGATATACTCGTATGTAATGGTTGTGACATCATACCAATGTGTCAGCTGTCAGTGTCATTGCCAACACCCTTGAGTCTGCATCATCATAAGACATAATTAGGAACAAATTGAATTCATAACTCCTCAAGGATTAATATTCCCATTAAGTCACCCTATCGCTGTCACACTGTCAAAATAATATACAAAGGATTGACGTCATAATATGGCGGACAATGGATGGTCTTTTGGGCGCCGAATTTTAATTAAAATATAAAAATAATAAGAAAAGAAAAAAACCTTTTATATGAATGTATACATGCACTTTCATTATTAAATATAAAAAAATGTCACTACCGCTAGTAATCCCTTTATCTAATACCATTACATATTAATATTAATACATACCACTGACAAGTTCCATGACAAGAAACAGCAATTCAGGACTATCTTGCTCTTCGATTAAAGATACAATACGCGGATGGCACAGCTTCCGCATTACTCGAACCTGCCGAAAGATGTTATTGATATGTCAGAATGTAGCCCTGATTGATCTGTATCGCTGGCAGATCAATCACGGCTACAATTACGCGGTAGGACAGCAACTAGTTTCACATTGCATTAATGATGTTAAACCATTATATCAATAGAAAAACAGGATTTTTAGATCATTATAGAGATAAACATACAAAACGCTGTCACGTCATAGATGTTCAACCAAATAACGTCCCATTCTATCCAACCCCAGAGTGCCAGGGACAAAGTGGATTTTTAAAGCATTTTTCATTAAAAATATTTTTCAGTATAGGATTGTGAAAGCAAAATTTATCAAATATAATAATTAGATAGAAGAAATTGTAAAAATCTTGAAAACACAAAATTTACTTTATAATAACGCGATAACAGATGGAAAGGGCATTTTTTTAAAACATACCCAATAGTAATAATGAAATGGGAGACATTAGACTTAATTATTATTAGTGAAATTATGATTACTGTAAAAATTTGTAGATTAATGTAATAATTATTGTAAAAATCATATCAGCAGTTGCTATTTTTAGTCAACCATAACAATTATCAACAAAACTTAACAAAAATGATGCGTGATATAAACACAACCCAACTTAATAAGTGTACTTGTCTACCAGTGTTAACAGTACTGATTTTTGAACGCAATTACGCCACCAAATGGCGGCCAGTCACATTAGCAATTTGTGGAGATTAAATTACAAAATATTTTTTATATATATATTTTTTTTTTCTTATAATAATAAGTATATTTTATAGAAGACAAGTAGCTCGGTGGCGTAATGGATAAGCGCCGCGGCCCGCGATCGTAGTCGTTAAGCAACTTTCGCTAGGGTCGGTCACGGGATGGGTGACCAAAAATTATTATCTCGAGCTACTCCGTGCTTCGGAAGGCACGTTAAGCCGTTGGTCCCGGCTGCATTGGCAGTCGTTAATATCCTCCAATCCGCATTGGGCCAGCGTGGAGGGTCATGGCCCATCCTCCTTAACCATCCATAAGGAAAGCCTGAGCCCCTGCAGTGGGGACATAAAAAGGGCTGGTAATGTAATGTAAATAGAAGACAAGACAACGTTTCGTACTTGCGTGCTTGTGAACCGATGTCAGGTTTATTTGACGAAATAATATAAACAGAATTCAATAACAATTGCAGAAAATAATTCTTTGGTAGTTTATCATTGTTATTAATTTTATAAGATCCTTATTGTTTTAATATATAATATGAATGATAATGGACGATTTATTATGATAGGCGTTTTTTCGACTTTTATGAAATACAGTATCTGAATTTGAATACCATGTGCATAAACGGATTCTTTGATTTATTATGATACAACTATATACGGTTTTAATACTTTTATTGTGTAATCATCTAGGGAACATCTTAAGAGGCTCGTGGGATTTGGTATGGGAATCATGAGAGACAAGTAGTACAAAGTCGTAAATATAACCCACCTCGGCTTCGACGTAGTGTTCTTTTCCTTTACATTTCGCTTTATCTATAATCTTGAGAGCGTATTCTTTATTTGTAGATTTGTCTTTACATATCCGTACGACAGCGAAATTGCCGTCACCTGTTGAAATTTAAATTTTATTACAATCTCAGAACATTTTAACTAAGCATTATCATTCAAGAACCAACTTTCATATAACGGTTTGCTAACATTTTTAGAAGCATTATGAATTAAAGACAATGCTATTAAACTAGCATATAATAAATTATTAATTGCATTCATAAGTAATTATTTGTGTCGCTGCAAACTAGCCAGCGATGGAGTATACAAAAAATAAATAAATATATATATAAGAAAATCTCAAAACAAGGCTGTATCATGTGATATAAAACACACACAATATGGTTTTGCAAAATTTTAGTTTCGTTTTCTAATTTACTGCTAATTTTATTCATTAATATTTTTCAAAAAACATTGTATGTCAAATATGTGTAGCATGTAGTGAAATCTTGCAAATGTCAAATTTAAAAATATTGCGAGAGATTTTGTTTTTATTTTTAGGGTCCCGTAACCAAAGGGTACAACGGGTACCCTATTACTAAGACTTCGCTGTGTCTGTCTGTCACCAGGCTGTATCTCACTGAACTGTGAAAGTTACAGAGTTGAAACCTTCATTGATATCGTATTTCCTTTGCCGCTATAACAACATATACTAAAATAAAAATCTTAAAGGGGGGCTCCTATAGAACAAACATGATTCTTTTGTTGTCACCAGGCAGATCGTTAATTTACTAAGATTCCGCCAGCGGCAGCGGCTTCGCCCGTGTGTATATTGATAAAAACCATATTAAAATCCGTTGTGTAGTTTAAAAGATCACAGCATACAAACAGCGGAAAGCGACTTTTTTTCATACTATTTATAGATAATATACTACAATTCATCAGTCAGTCTTACCAATAATTTTGCCGACGCTGTACTTGAGTCTAAGGGGTTGTGGCAATAGCGTTGTAGCGTTCGGATCTGTAGATTCACCGGCATCACCAGAACCGGCTTCATTTACTACCCGAGCTGCACCGCCAGCCTTCACTGGCATACGGGGTTTCGGACCAGACCTATTATGAACAAATTTTAATGTGAATATTAATCAAATAAAATTTAAAAACAAGATACAAGTGCGAACTGAAATATTTTTATGACATTCACCTGGAATTTCTTGTGATTGGAGTTTTCCTGCATTGTAATACTGCTTTGCTTTCTTCAAATTCTAATTCAAAATCTTCCTGATTGACCCTGGTAAAGAATTTACTTATGAAATAAGAGAAATTTTGAAGGATAGTAATTAACATTGACCAATAAAAAGCCCATTTCCTAAAGATAGAGATTACGGAACGACTGATTGATTAAAAGTTATAACGACTATTCTTTCAATAATTATAAGGTGTAAACTACAATTCATTAGGTGTCTGTCATACTGTCACTCAGCGGGGGTCATTCGTTAAGATGCCATTCTACATAAATCATCGATTGGCCAGGAATTGCCTCGCTTCGAAATTTCGCCTTCTTCATGGGTACGTTAATGAGCCATAATAGTTGTATTTAACTGTAATACATTACATGCATGCTATACCTACGCAAAATGTATGGTTCACGATTCGGACATTTCAGCTCTTTGCAATAAACGATAATGGTCTAAAAACTTAGTCCAGACTTTAAATATACATAATTTTACCAAGAAAGATTTTATTATAGATAGATTTAGATATAGTTATAAAGAACATAAATTTCTTCAAATTTGGTAACAGATTCAATTACCTTTCATTTCCATAAGCAAAAAACACATCTTCATCGTCAAAGAACTGATGTAGTGAGGTGACCGCGGTGCCTGTTTGTGTGAACACCTTCCGTACACAGCCTGTGTCCAGTTTAATACAATCCGTGATAGCCACCAAAGCATGCTCTAATGTAGGACTATTGCGTTTATTCAGCAATAGTCTACAGACCTATGTAGGACAAATGATGTTCATTTATGCAACTGTGATGTTTAAACAAAGTATAACACATAATTATAAATCGAGGTCAATCCATAAACATAAATATGCATTGACATTAAAGACTTGATTTAGTAAATTATTTAGTACATATGTAATCTTCTGTGTAATGTATGTTATATATGCCAAGTTATGCAAAATTTACTTAATATCAAATATAATTTACAGAGATACGCCGTATATTCGTTTGTTATTCGGTATTCGGCGTATTTGGCATCTTTTCTACCATTTGTATTCCGCTGAATATTCGGAAGTTGGTAATCAAAAGAAAAACATCAATATTTATAATGCTTAATGGTAAATTATGGTACAGAAATACCAAGCTCTCGGCCCTCTCTGGCTTGCCAAAAAATATACAACAGACTCTTGAGTCTGTTGTATATTTCTTCATATAGGTTGTTAGTTTCCGAAATAAGAGTTTGCTATACAAACTCTATACTACCAGGAGCACTGAGAAACAGTCTGGCTTAAAAAAAAAACAGTGAAATAGCAAAACCAAATAATTGGGCTGAATATCTTTTTTTTTATGGGATAGGGGGTAGACGAGCAGACGGATCACCAGATGGTAAGTGATTACCGTCGCCCATGGACACCTGTAATACCAGAGGGGCTACAAGCGCGCTGCCGGCCTTTGAGGGACGAATATGATCTTAGGGAGGGAAGGGTTGAGGGGTAGAGGGAAGGCAATAGGGAGGGGTTGGGCCTCCGGCACCCTCACTCACACGACGAAACACAACGCAAGCGTTGCTTCACGTCGGTTTTCTGTGAGGCCGTGGTATCACTCCGGGTTAGCCGGCCCATTTATGCCGAAGCGTTGCTCTCCCACGAAAAAAGTTAAGGTTTGGTTAAGTTAAGCTCAAATTGAATATTACTCAATATTCAGTGAAACACTATTCGGCATATGTCTAATAATTTATATCATTTTTAAATCTTTATGTTTCTTAAAATTCAATATTATATATTCAGTCGAGGCACAAGCACTTGTGAATATCGTAAGCTACACAATCAGTTTGCAAATCTACATTTATGTTAAAAAAGGATGACTTAACAATAGTATAGATTATTGTTTGATAATTTATTACATGTTAATTATACAAATTTTTGTATTTTACATATTTATTGATATTTATGGAATTTAAACTTTCTGAATTGCAATTCAAATTTCTTTTATACTAAATAATTATTATACATTTAAGAGTAACACAAAAAACTAGAACAATTAGCCATGAAATTAGATAACATACCTACAAATTTAACATTATAATTGCATGCATTTGATTATGACACTTAACATTAGGATGATCAATCTTTGCTTTCTCATATGATTATCCAATCTTTTAATCTCAAATTACTGATGTAGATCTAATAACAACCACATCTGTGTCTCTGACCACATTGTATATACTGTTGGCTGCAGATAAACCAGAAGATGATGTTGGATTATAACCTTAACTGCATAAATAATAAGGTCTCACATAAATTAACATAATTTACCTTGCGAGGTTTAACTCCATTCCTAATAATAGTAACTATACGTGGTCTGACCACATTGTCACCTGCAGGGCTAACTCTTGCTGTCCCGTTGCCAGTAGTGCTACTACCATTTGTCTGAAATGTTTTTTTATATATTTTTCAATAATAAAGGTCTTTATTCAGACATTCATTTTTTGGATTATCAACAATAATTTAAAATTAATATGTATTTATTTTCATTCTCAAGGATTATTTAAAAGGATCTATCATGATGACATGGTGAATGGTAATCCTATAGTTTTAAAAATATACCTGCAAATACCGGGACAATCTATTATTAGCTCGTGCTGGAGAAGGGCTGGCACTGTCACTTAGTGACTCTGGTCCACTGAGTCTAAATGATTGGGGTGTCACTGCACTGGCTTCATAGTCCAATTTTTTAAATGGCTCTCCAAAACCACTACAGACATATGACTGTCCATCTTCAAGATCATCCAATTTACCTATCTAAAATATTTTATATGTGAGCATGTGATAATAAAAAAATGATACCACAGAAAAGCATAATGGACTTACTTTTCTACCTTCAAGTGAATAAATTGTCCGCACACCACTTGGTAAAGTTACATTGTCAACTAATATCCTTGTCAAATCGGATGTTAAACTATCAAAAGATCTGAAATAAATTAAAACTGACATAAAACAAACAGAATAGTAAAATAAGCACAAACATCAAGTAAGTTTTGAAAGAAATTTTTAAAAGAAATTAAAAAAATATGTATAGTATAAACTTCTCCTCCTCCTGTTTTTAAATTTTGATTTTTTCATGAATTCATATTTCATTTTTGGATTAATAATGATAAATCCAAAAATAAATAATTGCATAGAAATGCAGTCTATGAGAATTTATTAAGTTAAGCTGTCAAAGAAAATTTAAGCTATAATAGTAACAGTTATAAAGTAATTATTTTAGCTGTCTTGAATATTTTCAGACATAGTATCAACAATATTGTGATACTTATGTCATGCACAACTACAATTGTGTAGGTATTTAGATAAGTGAAAGTACACAAATCCAATTTCGCCAATTAATGACCAATTATGTGCACCAGTATTAAATTATAGCAGAAATGACACACATACCTATAACGTTCTGGTAAAACTGGAATTGTTACTCCTGAATAGAATTTATCACCATTTCGAAAAAACCTAACTCGTTTCGCTTTCCGCGCTGGCTGTGCCCGAACCATTACGTTACGTCTGTTCGTCCTACTTTTCATAATTTCCATATCACTGAAATCTTTTTCAAGCTCACATACTGAGCTCGATCGGCTACCACTTCGACTTAAATTATTCTCCATCCTAAAAATAAAGTAAAATAATAATAATACATTACTTAATTTAACGGATATTAAAATTTTATTACAAATATCAACCTTCACCTGATTTCTCTTCGATTTATCAAATATAACTATTGTAGCTTGTCAATTGAGGACATCACTGTTAATTGTGTTTCATTTTTTCCTTCAATATAGGAAATATTGAAAACAAGTTGGAAATTATTCTGAATAACCATGAATCACATCGAAATCAGCGATTTACGGAATGAAAAATGAATGAATGAATGCAAATGAATGTCAAAGTAAATTTCACAGAATTGAACGAGTATGAATGAAACAACAGTAATAGTCCATTTACACGAGACAATCCAGTAAAAGCCTTATTACACTACCCAATTTCAAGGTCCCGCTCGGTCGCGTGAGTGTGTCCCAAACAGTTTATAATATATTGTAAAAATAGAGTTTGGCAAGCGAAACGTGACACCACCTATTTTTCCGTTTTCATATGGCAACAACATAGAACTGTCAGTTTGACACTACGTTAGACAATTCAAGAATATTGAATTTTGTTGTTTTTGCGAATTTGAACTTGTGTTTTTGGTTAAAAATTATGTCGAAGCCGATAAAAAGTTCATCGAGGAAACTTCTTTCCATCATGATTGACAAGTTTACTGAAGTGAAAACTGAATTAAATAAAAATTTCATGGAGAAATTACAACGATTAGATAAAGTTGTATCTTTTTAGGTTAGTTTTGTATTATAATTTTGATACTTTCGTTTTAATTTTCTGTAATTAACTAAACAGATATTTTTTATAAAATATTGCTCTATTTCAGATAACTGTGATGGTGATATTCAACCAATAATGGAGGAGATAAATGCAATAAAAACTTTAGAAAAACAAGAAATGCTGAATTCGGAAACGCAGTACTTACAAAAAATTTCTTCAATGACAGGTCTCTTTTCTTGTTTTGATTTAAGATAGATTGATAGTATTCCTATAATATTTACATAGGTTTTTTATGATGTATTGGTTTTTATTGTTGACATCCAATGATGTCATAAGAATGTTTTGTTTAACAAGGAAATTCACAGAATTCATGAAACTAATCAAACCATGTAATTGTTATACATGCTAAATATGCACATAAACTTAACTAAATTAAACATAAATTGCATTCATAGTTGAATAGGTATTTAAATTATTTTGATGTATGTGTCTATCATTATTTGCTTTTAAATACATTTAACATATCTTTGTTTCAAAGTGTTTAATCTTTTATAGATGTAAGTATAAGGACACTAAGAAGGATAAAAAATGAAGCATTAATTAATAAAGGAAAATGGGACACTCCTGGGAAAAAACGACCTCATCAACCAACAGTGTCTGCTTTAGATAATTTTGATTTAAGTGCAATTCGGAATAAAGTAAATGAATTTTACTGTGTGAAAAAAATTGTTCCAACATTAAGAAGCCTTCACAATGAATTAAAAGATGCAATAGGATTCAGTGGTAGCCGTGAGACTTTACGAAAAATTATGCTTAAGAATGGATTTTCTTTTAAAAGCAATGAAAATGAACGTTCTATGCTTATAGAAAAATACCAGATTTCTGCATGGAGGCACAAGTATTTGAGAGAAATAAATATAAAACGAAACGAAGGAAAGCAAATTGTGTACCTTGATGAAACTTATGTACATCAGAATTATAAAGTTAAAAAGTCTTGGCAAGGACCTTCAACAACTGGTGTCACTACAAAGATATCCTCTGGAAAACGGCATATTGTTGTGCATGCTGGATCTGAGGAAGGTTTTGTGCCTGGTGCATTATTAGTGTTCAGTAGTAAATCCAAATCTGCTGATTATCATGATGATATGAACTCATCGAACTTTATGAAATGGGTCAGAGAAAAATTAATACCAAATTTAAGTAAGCCCAGTGTAATTGTTATGGATAATGCCAGCTACCATATAAAACAAATCAATAAACCGCCTATAATGTCTAATACCAAAGCAGATATCCGTAAATGGCTTGTAAATAATGGAATACATTTTGAGGAATATCAGACAAAGGCAGAGTTAATGTGTTTGGTTAATGATAAGAAAACATTGCCTGTATATGAAGCTGAAGAGATTTTAAAAGAACATAATCATGAACTTTTATTGCTGCCACCGTATCATTGTGACTTAAACCCAATAGAGATGGTTTGGAGTCAAGCAAAAAGAAAAATTGCAAGCAGAAACATTGGAATACCAGGAAAGGAAATGGAAAACTTAATAATAGAGTGTTTTAACTTAATTACCCCTAGTGACTGGAAGAAATACACTGATCATGTTTTAAATGTCGAAAATGATTACAAATTAAAAGATGGCATTGTTGAAAACGAACTTGAAAAATTTATTATATCTGTTGGTGCAGACAGTAGTGAAGAGAGTGACTCTGATGATTCCTTGTCATTGTTATCAGGTGTAGAATATTTAGAAACAGATTTTGACTATGAATCAGACTAAAGTATTTTTAGTCTGATTCATAGTCAAAATCTTATCTTAAATTTTCTATTGTGATTAACATGATGATTTTGTGACACCTGTATTATGTAATTTATCCATGGCACTTAATTGTAACAAAAATAAATGTTTTTTTTATTGTAATCTGGTGTTTATATTGACTAATTTAATTTGATAGATAGTGGTTCTGGATCAGAGCAAAAGGTTGTGATGAAAATCCCTTAGGAGACATGTATGTGTTATGAACACATTATAAATATAAGGGCCAGAAATCAAAATTGGCTAACATCACATTTATTAAAAAAATGTGGCCAGAGTCGCCCATATTCATTACAAAAAAACAAAGAAGTCGTTGCAAAAAACACCCTTTTAATTAATGACAAATATGAATTTTTAATATTATAAGTGCTGTTAGCCAATAGGTATAACGAATGGGTTAAAAAAAAGATTCGATTTAGTCCGTCAGTCAGATAATAGAAAAATATTGGATACGTATTTTTTTTCGCTTTAATTTAACAACAAATGGCTTAAGAGGTACTATGCGACGACTTCAAATATGCTTTGCAACAATGTTACTTTAATACAGTTTATCGATACGAAATCAAGTGTCAAAATGGAGTCCAGTGGAGAATGCCGATATTGACATTTCGAAATTGCTCATCATTGATAGAGAATACGAAATAGTGATTTTGACACAATCAAAGTGTCTATTTTTTACGGTGATGACGATTCTTGGTTGTCAGTTGAGTTAGTGAATAGGCCTACTGATATGCTGTTAACTGTACAATTAAGAACAGTCACGCTTTAGTCAAATGTTCCAAAACAAATAATTTTAATTGATATCTAAATGTTAAGATTAAATATAATTAATAAAAGTATCAAAATTATTTTGCAGTACTACATTCAGTGTTTACTGCTTAAGAATTTTTGAAATTGCCGCCCTTTTCTTGTGACACGTTTCGCTTGCCAGACTCTATACCCTAGTAAGTGAGACGCGGTTTTTATCACCGTCATAGTGTATAAGATAAATAAAGTAATGTCTTAAGAAGGAAGTATTTAATTAGTTCCCAAAATTAAACTAGATGTCGCTACGGCACTTCTTGATTTCTCCATGACAACCCTTCCAGTTTTCTTTCATTAGTTTTTAAAACTCAATAAATAACTCGTATTCTATTTGAAATTTTTCGTATTTATCTAAGTTTCAAACTTTGCAAATTTCAGTTTTTAATATGTTAGTTAAAAGGAACGGGAATGACTCTTTTGGGTCCATTCGTTTACTGTAAAAATCTACTTTTGCCAGAGTCGCTATCTAGTGGAGGTGCTTTTTTGGTGCTTTCTTTTTATATTGAAATACTTCCTCATTGTCACAATAGCCAATTTCTAGGTCCCTTACAAGGTCCATTAACCTTTTTGGTTTTTTCTTATGTTTGAGGGTATAATGTTTTTATGCAGAAAAATAAAGATGGACATCGACGAAGGTATTTCTAGATCTAAAAGGTAGTGAAAACAAGTGTTTTCTGTTATTAATGACAAAAATAACAGAATGTACAAAAGCTGCACTGTATTCTGATGATTTCAAAGATGACTACCAAACTTATGAGAAGGGGTGCATTAGAAAGCTAAACAAAATCGCGAAATTCTAGGCAGATTAAGTAAAGATTTTGCCAGGATTACTAGTTGGAAATCAGTCACGGTTTGCTATTCCGCGTGAGCTTTGTCCCCCTTTATCGTCTATAAAAATACTGAAAAAAGGACAATTTGTTTTCTATTTCAATTTTCGAGCAACAAATGATTTCTTCTCATAATATGCTGTTTGAATTTTACCTCAGAGGAGAGAAAATGAGGACTCAATATCCAAGATTACTGAATGTCATTATCTTGTAGTAAAATTGTCTCCAGAAGGTACAGCGCCTATCTGCTTGCGTCACACACAACACCTGTGTAAAAATTAATTTTTACTCAATTCGTTATTTTGTACTCTTAAACACCGAAGTGACGGCTACCGACACGACAAACGAAAATTTGAACTGCTGGCAAATCTTGAAGTGTGGTGCTAGACACTTCTGTGGGACACCCAATGGTTCAATATCACTCGTTGGTGGACAATCTACCATGGTAAGGTGGGCATATTTTGGTATTGTTCACCAGTCCGAACCTATAGCCCCTTTTCATCGACAGAATTTTCTAATTTGAAAAGTACCGTTGCCCGATCCAGAGTGACATTATAGGCTTCCCTTAGCAGGGTCACATTCGTCACAGTGACTAAATAATTCATTATAACGGTATCTATGTTACAACTAATAATAGATTGGAGAAAAGTTTTCTCGCATATAGTATGCACAAACTTGTAATAAAATCGACTATCCTGAATTATGATATTTTTTTTCTTTGCCTACCAATGATATTCACAAAAACGATGTCATTACCCGATACATTATAAATAGAGAAAAAACAACTATGATCTTAGAAAAATATTTTCTTTTGTTTTCTATAGTATGTGCTCAGTTCCAAGAATGACATAATAAATTATGTGTTACGTTTCAACATTTAACGTGACGCTAGATTTATTGCCACCTATAAATTTGCTACGAAACGGCCTCCATTGGCAACGCGACGAACCAACTCGACTCCGCACGCATCTAGTAACGCCGGGCTTTAGTATATGGGGTGCATTAAGGCGGAGACGCGGAAACATATTGTAATTAATGTGTTGTGTTTTTGTATTATAGTTGCTGTCACGTGTTTGTTATTTATTTATTGGAAAAAAGGAATTTCATAAAGAAAGTTGAATTAAGAAGAAAACTATGCTATGTTATTATCTAAAAAAATAACTTTTTTTTTTCAAATAAAGTCAATGGAATCAAAAAGTAGAAGTAGATCAAGAATATTTTTTTTGTGGTCGTTTGTGACGCGAGTGACTTCGTGAGTCAACTCCTCTATGTCATGAGCTAAAAAGGATACTGGTGTTTTTTTTTTCTCTGGTAACACGTCAAACAGGTGACGCATTTATCAATTTCGTGTTGTGTCAAAAAGCACAGACAAAGAGTGTAATTAAATTTTGTAGTTTTTCGTATTTATATAAACTTTTATTCACTATGTCGTCCAGAAAAAAGGTTCTGTTGAAAGTAATTATACTTGGAGATAGTGGGGTTGGCAAAACATCGCTTATGAATCAGTTTGTCAACAAGAAGTTTTCCAACCAGTACAAGGCAACAATAGGCGCAGATTTTCTCACGAAAGAGGTAATCGTTGATGATAGAATCGTCACAATGCAAATTTGGGATACTGCAGGCCAGGAACGATTCCAGTCGCTGGGAGTTGCGTTCTACCGTGGGGCGGATTGTTGCGTCTTAGTTTTTGACGTAACGGCCCCTAACACGTTCAAGTCCTTGGAGAGTTGGAGGGACGAGTTCCTGATTCAAGCTTCACCACGTGACCCTGAAAGTTTTCCATTCGTGATATTAGGTAATAAAGTTGATCTAGAAAATCGTGCTGTTTCTGCTAAACGTGCACAACAATGGTGTCAAAGTAAAAACGACATACCCTATTATGAAACCAGTGCCAAAGAAGCTGTGAATGTAGAGTTAGCATTCCAGACCATAGCTCGCAATGCGCTCGCCCAGGAGACAGAAGCGGAACTGTACAATGATTTCCCTGATCACATCAAATTAAATGCAAATGATAACAGCCGTAACAAGGATGGAGATAACTGTGCTTGCTAGGTTCCATGTATCATACTCTAATGCTGGCACCACACTAGTTTCTCATTTATTTTAAATATAGCATTATATTGTGTAAGTAATGATTATTTTTTATCACTATCATGTAAAAATGTATAGAAGATATAATTACCTGCCACATTGCTGCATTGAGTGTTTTGTTTGTTGTGCACATTTGAATATTGCAGAAATTTGATGCACTTTAGAAGATTCTGCTTTCTAAAGCAAGTAAAATAATAGCAAAATGTTCCATAAAGAAGTACAATGTGCATGTCTGGTAAATTTATAATGAAAACAACGTTTTGGCTGTATGAAATGGGTGTGGGTTTAGAAATCATAAAGTTGCAAAAATAATATTAACTACAGCTTAACTTCAGTCCTCTGTTGTGTGAAACATGATTATAATCACTGGATAACAATGCTTATATGCGTCTGGAGAATGATGGGTCAACACACTTGTAATTATTTACAAATTAAACAAACTAGATACCTGAAATGATAAATATTTTTTAATGAACATTTGAAATATTTCTATTCCCATTTTCATGATACAGTGTCCTTGCATTATATGTTAGTTAATGTTGTTAAATTAGAATTAAAATCAGGTATTGTAACAATCTAATTTTTATTTCTTTTTTCTGATTTCATAATGTTATTAACTTTGTTAAATACACTATGGCTAAAACATAGTGATTATTTAAAATTATACAATTGAAAGTAGTTTTGATTAAATGTAGTAACATTTTAGTTTATAATTTTTCTATCTATAAATATAAAAAAAGAACTATAAAGAAATATTTATATGGAAAATGTAGAAGATTAAGTTGCTAACACATTTTCCTAATGTTTTGCAAACAAATATTATATAACACAGTGGTCATAAAATAATCAAGTTAAAAATACATTACTAGAATAAAATCTATTTTTGACTATTTTTGTTATAAAAATATGATAATTTGTTCATTTATGTATGGTTCAGTTTATTTTAATTGTTGCTATTTAAACTTCAGTTTCTAGTATTCAGTTATCATGAATTGAGTTTGACTGCTGTGTTATAGTTTTTCAATAATCCCCATAAATTGTATTGCAGTAAGTTTACGGTGACGTTTATGTGTTTGCATAAACTTTGTTATACCTAAATGTTTTTGTATATATTTGGATTTTAAAACATTAGTTATAAGTAGATAATTATAACACTCATCATGTTCACTATATCACAAGAACACCCATGTGATATAGAGAAATAAAAATATAAAGGAATTGCATTGATATCATTGATCATACATATATTCTATTTTTGAGTAATTGTGACACCTGAATTGGGCAGCCTTTAAATATTAAATCAAAATTATTAAGATGTTATACTAAAATTCAACATACATCCTGTATTTGCCATATATTTTCAACAAATATTTTTTGTATTAATATTTAATAGTACTATAATAATTATATGTACACAAACACTTGATGCTTGCCGCTTAGTGAAAATCATTGTGACTCATCAATTGTATTCTCAATTTGTTATACTACATTGCATGCCTATAATATATCACTATTATTATAATCTATTACAAATTGTAAGTAATGATAAGAGCTAGTTATAAAGGTAACAAATATGATGTATGCTGTAATAATGGTTGCTTTTAATTTTATATTAATAAATAAAACCTTGAAAAAATATGTGAATTTTAAATTGTTAAAAAAAATTGTGCCGTTTGTATTATCCATGAAGTACTTTCTGCATAGAACAAAATGCTTCAGGCAAATGATGCAGAGTTTGATAGATAGAGATTATCATAGTATCGAATATCATACTTGAAAGTGGAATATGCGAATTTTGTTATCTAGAAGAATTATTCCAGTTTCCAAATTCAAACAAAACTGGTGGTCAAATTGCTATAAAATTATATGCGATCACCTCAGGCCTTTGAATACAAAAGAAAAATTAAGACTAGTCTACAATAAGTGAAAAAAAACATACATAGCAGTTAAACATACTAACTCCTCCTTTTTGATTTTGAAGTCTGCTTAAATTAAATTCAATCATATTAAATTAGGTAGAATCCACAGATGCAGAATCACGAAGCAATGTAGAACAATGTTAGATTATGTAAATTTTCTCATTCAATTAATTACATAGTTTAATTGAGTAGGTAAAAAAATTCTTAAAAAAATAAAGATGTCACCATAAAATTGTAAATATCGTCAGTTTATAATCCGGCCTTTTATAATCTAAAGTTAGCTTTAATTCTAGTCTTTAAACATCGCCTCTTGTTTACAATTTTACAGTGACATAGACAAATCGTACGAGGCCAAACTACTATTTAATTACAAAGTTCCCATTTCCATGTCTACCTTTAGTTCCAAAGTCTTTAACAAGACCAATTAAAGGAGTCCATACTCGATAGTACTGCTTTGATTAATTACAGAGTTCCATGGTTACCTCCCGGTTCCATTCCATTGTATTATCATCCAAGTATACGTGCAATCCAAATGAAAGCATGTTATAAAAAAAGTAGGTTCCTATTCTGACTTAAGCCAGGATATCGGTGTTCTTTCCCAAACAGCTGAATATTAAGACAATTTTATGAGATAAAATAACGAAATGCATCATACATGAATATCAAAGCATGTGTGTTGTTTAGTTATCGTGCTATTAGTAATCTTGATAATAATATTTTTCATTATATCTTACACATACTTTAAGGTCCTGTCATTGACAGGAGTGTAATAGTATGTGATGAAACAGTCGGTCGACTTCCTTGAATGAGGTAGTTGATAGAAGCGTCGCCTTGAAATAAGTTCTTAATTCACAAATCCATGACGAAATATGGACAAATTACTACCTACATCACAGATCCCTCTGTGATGCGAACATTCATATCTGCGTCCGTAATAGCAAAGCTACTGCTTCAATTTCAACATCTGTAGGTATCTACAGCTGCTGCATTTATCAATGTAGATGTCCCTGAATGGGACCTTTTTGATACATTTTTGTTTATAGTTTTTATATTTATTTTTTATATAGATTCCTTTGGGCTTGCAATATATGTCACGAAAAAGACGTATTTTTATTTATTGAAAATTTTCTATAATCGGTTAAATATTATTACCAGTCGTTTACAGTAGATGTTCATGTGAATACGATTAATCTTGCAATTATGCTAGAGATCTGTCAACCGAAAGTAGTAGCGCTAGCAATGCATTATGTGTAACTATTATTCTATTATTATGATCCGGCTCGAATGACAAATAATGTAGGGTACTGACCACCCAACTAGCAAATTAGTCATATAAGGTAAAGTTTATTCAGCTTTTCGGTGTTATAAAAGTCGAGTAAGTGTGAATTATTCACCACGTATCGTATAAAAGCATCTTACTTATATAGCTTTTGAATTATTCAGCATTTCGGTCACATAATGATGCTGAGTAAACGTTTAGTCAGCATCCTTATATGACTTAAGTGTCATATAATATTTTGGTGAATAAGTCGCTAGTATACGACGCTTATGTTACTATTTCGTCGAGTAAAAGCATATTATATAGCTTTCTTATGGCAAGGTTGTCTTAGTCGAGTAAAAGCAACATTGTTGCTTTTATACTACTATTATGTAGTATACGTCGCATTTATACGACTATTACAAGCCTAAAATGTCGTATAATTGTATCCATTACACCGACCAGATTGTTTTGTGTAAAATGCTGTGAGTAGTTTACAGTTATCGAAAATGGACTGGAATAAATGGAAAAACAAACAAAAAGTCTTTTTTAGAAAACTTTTTAGGAAGTTCTAAGGAACCCTAAACTATAATCAGAGTGGTATCATGGCGCTCATACTGCTTATTTGCTGTATAAGAAGCTATAATACCGCCTGTCAGCAGTAAAAATGGTATACAAAAATAATATTGATATAAAAATATTTGTTATTATATTCATATTACTAAGAATTAAAGGGGGGCGTTAAATATTTATGATATAACCTAGTATATTTCCTCAGAAAACTTACCTTCGCAATACTTTACAACCCTATGCGTGAGTTTACGAACCTACATTTGGTGCAACCTACAAATTAAAATTGTACTTACCGATGAATTATAATTTTTAAAACACAACACGTCGAAGCACTTGCTTATTTTATTTACTATAAATGTTTTCAGCTGTTTTGTATCCCAGGTCGCTTCAATAAGACAAACATGTCATATAAAAGTCATATAAGTTACAGTTATAGCGCAACATAAGCTTGTAACAATCACTCCAGCGATAATTACGTGACGATTTACCTGAATAAGTTACCTTTATACGATGTCTATGTGGCTGAATTGCTGAATAAAATGGGCCCAAATCGCGTTGTATAAACGTTTTCATTACGTTTATACGACTTCTATTGATTGGGGTTGTATTGCCTTATCTTTCGTAGCAGGCGTCTTAGAAGGAAAGATGTGTAAACGCAATATCAAGTTTCTGCCCCAGTTGGAAAAAGTTGTAGGTCCGGGCCTGATGCCGACCCGTGCCCCCGACGGGGTTAATGCGCCACTGGTACTGTCTGACTGTAAACGACTAACAATAAGTAGGTGATTTACTATAAAAATACCAATTAAATAATGACTAATTTTATAATAAAAAATTATTTTTGTGATTTTATAGTAATTCGCGACGTTCTTCGATAGTTCGACCTTTTCACAGCCATGGTGTCAAGTGGGATTGCGGAGACATCGAATATAGTATCTCAGCACGCGTAACGTGACAAACTCGACAACATTTTTCTATGCCCGAATGTCACTTTTCTCGGTTTACAAACATCTCAATCTCGAATGTACAGTAGGTAGTTTGGAGTAGACGAAGTTTATCGGGTTTCTCATGCTATAAGTCCCGTAAATTGGTAATGCGCTGGAATCTTGTCTACATAACGCCCGCGTATCATATAAAAATAAAAAGTATAGATGGAACAAAAACCAAGAACAAACTAAATATTAAATATTTATGAATTATGTTCAAAATTTTGTTATAATAATTTAATCACTTTTAATTTGTCAATTCATTGCATGAATTTTGTAAAAGAATCAGTTAGGGAATGCGTTATATACAAAATAAAAATAATCGCACCCCCAGTACGGCACTGTCACTTTTGCAAAAAATATAAAAATTAGTTAAATATGTAATAATTGTCCTAAAACACCCCTTTATTTGGTGCGATAATGTTACTTTTGTAGTAGGTACGCATAGTTTCAGTATGATTCATCTCATCCATATCTTATAAAGTCATTGTTTTGTGAGGTGTCAGAGTTTAAAACTCTTCTCCTGAAAAACTAAATTTTTGCATAAGTGACAGTGTCGTACATACGCACGTATGTAAAAAATAACATTAACTTTTTAAGAAAAAAAGTAACATTTCTGGTTTTTGAACGTAATTACACCAGCGTCGTTCGGTCATCGTCGTCACGTCGTGCCTTCGCGGCGCAACAAAAGAGAGGAAGAATATTAAAAATGGTATTATTAATCTTTTGCATAATCAATTAATTACGGCGATACATTGAGTTGAAATTTCTGGATCTCCTCTAGAAACTTACCATAGTTATTTTGCAACGACCAAAATGAGAAGGCTATATTTATATAAGACGACTTTATCACACATACTCAAAAGGAAAATAATAAAAAACAATTGCAACGCAACACATAAATAAAAATACACTAAAACAGTGTTATTTCCTGAATTAACACTTTATTGTACACCAAATTGACGTACTTAGGTGATAATTCACAATTGGTATCAACTGTTAAAACAGTTTTTCTCTAGGTACCCTACCGAAACACTTTCAAAACCTACAGAACAAAATTATGTATCGGCATTAGAAATCGCGATTTACTGCGTTTCAGGTATGACGAGCTAAAGGTTTAAGATCGTTTTTTTTTTTAATTTATAAATGTATATGTAACGTCGTTTTATAACAATATGGTTTTATTTTTGATCATACGTAACTTAGTCAAAGTTAATAGGTATAAGTAATTCAGAAATACAGCAAGAATCAAAACCATTGATTTAAACGTGTAAAAAATGAAACGAACATTTTATTAATAAAATCAATAAATCGTTATTATAGCTAGATATGATCAGAATTATTCTAGACAGGCGGCAGAGCTGCTGTACAAATTTATTTAGAAACTTTATGCAATGAGTTATGATGAGATTAGTATTATAAAACCGTCATAAGCTTCTTCATTTACATATCTACCTGCCTTTAAATACATATATTTATATGTATGTAAAACTGTTAGCTGTTGACTTATTTTGACATCACTGGTGAACTTCGAATATTTTGCCCTTTTAAAATCAGTAGGAACTAAGAAACAAAACAAACATGATCAGAAAAACTTATTTTTAACCAACTTCAAAATCGAAAAAGAGAAGGGACTATGTTCGACGGACGTGTTTTTTATTAAATCTTTTTATGTATAGGTATTCACCGATTTTTCTGCAAATCGTTGACCGATTTCCGAAATTCTTTGCTTTATTAGATACCTTTATTGAAGTAGGTACATTTTACCAGAACAAATAATAAAATGCAATTTGCAAATTTTAGTAAGTAATTATAAAGGTGACTAAAATTTGAAATGCAGGAATGACTACTGAAATCAGAAATCTAGGTATTTTGTCTAATAATAATTCAATAATTC